CTCTTTTCAGTTCTCTTTTGTGTTTACAACATGCTAGGTGCCCAGATGGAAAAATCAAACTATAATGCAAAACTTTTTCAAAGTGTTATTCACTCCTCGTCTTGCTAAATGTGACATTTGAGCTATGGGCTGTGTGATTCTTCAGTCGAGCCTCTTGGTAGCAAAAGCATCAGGACAGGTGCCTGTGCTTTGAAATACATCAAACCAGTGGTTTTCTAAGGGTATTCACATGCAACCTGACAGGTTTCCCTCTCCTCTGACTCCATGACTTTGTGTGGTAATTTACCTTGTAAAATTTAACTTTCTTTTTATACAATTTGTTCAAACCTCTAAGGTGCATGGGCACCTCTAAGCTGCCTTTGATATTTTAGAAATACTATCTTTTGATGCAAAGCAATAAAAATACCAAAAATATTTCAATTTATATGCTTATTATTATCATAGGAGACAGTAGCTCTGGGCATGACACAAACTGCTGCTTTATTTGAATACAGCAGCAGTCCAGAAAATTTACAATGAAACATGAAGCTCAAGACAATGGGAAAATACATAAAGACAAAGCATCACAATAATACTGTGTCATCACTGGCTCAAGCCAGACTCTTGGTGACTGTTATCAGGTGTTCTTACTGTTCAGTAAGCAGGCTGACTAGTTGTACATCTTGTGAGCACTAACACAGAAAGGCGGAATTAGTAGGAAAGTCCATGGTTGATAGTCAGCAGTGAAACTGGATTGTCAATCAGGGATTGCCACTCCTAAGAGTTACAAAATGGTAATGTAATCTCAGTTCCAAGGATTATTAGGAATTAAGAAACACCAGAGTGAAATTGTCTTTAATCTCTTCAAAAGCTAGAGCACAAGCTTGTGCAAGTCAGTGGTTATATTTACCATCTTTGGCCTGGTTCTTTACATGCAGCTGGAGCTTTACAACAGAGATTCACATCTATAGCAGCTGCTTTTCCTTTTAAAACCTTGTTCAATTTTACAACCCCTTTGAATGGATTTTGTCAATCCGTGAGTGGGACAAGGCTCAAGGGAGCTGTGTAAAGGAATGCTTCAGTAGATGGCACTCTCCCTCTGAAGGAGGATGGGCAAATATCTCAGCTAAGGAATTAGATGCAGTGAGAACAGCTTCCTTTAAACTCTACAGAAATTATATTGAATGCACGTAAAGCTCTGCCTAGCTATGCAATGAAGTAACCTCTGGCAGATTTTCACAAATCTGCATCTATCAAGTCCTCACATCTGGCTTCCTCCCTGCTTTAATGACTATGGTCTGTTTATATTCAGCTGAACTCCTGAATTCATAACAGTGAACAAACACACATGTAGACGTGTAGTTTTTATATATATTATCTGCATTTTGTATATATATACACACACATACCATATACACCATATATGTATATATATATATATGTGCATATATATATATATATATATAAGAGCTCAGTGGTAATCTATGTTGCACACATCAGACTCAGAATTTACAATTGTTCTTTCCCAATCTTTCTTTTTTTTTTAAGTCTTTATTTTATTCTACTATTCTGTTAATGGTAGGTCCATTTTGAAGACTTAAGTCCTTTGATTTTTTTGATAATGTTCTGTTGCTATTTTACAGTCACAAAATTTCATAGATCCAGTTTCAAGAGTACTGAATTACTACAAGTGAGGAGGTCTCAACTACAGGTATGGGGACAATGAAGACCTGCTAGGCCTTAGGGAAGCTACAACCTTTTGAATCAAATCTGTTGCTAAATAAGCAGCAAATGTACAGCCATTGTGCATCTTTCTAAAGTGTACGGTGCCTTCCTGACCGATGAACAGGAAAGTAAGAGAAGATGAAAGAAATGTGTATAAGACAGTTAAAATAAAAAAATTACATGGGACAAATTTATAAAATGCAAATTTAATTACTTCAATTTCTTTGGATTCTTGAGAAATGTGAGTATATTCTTTCAATTTAAGTACCTTTTGCTTTTTAAGTACCTTTTTTCTTATTTGACTGGCACACAAGTCAAATACAACCACACAAGTTTTCAATCACTGCCTCTCCCCTACACTCTACAAAAATCATTTTTCCATTGATTAAAACCACAAGGATAACAGTATTTTTAAAATCCAGACCCAGGAACTAAAAGTTTACTACCATAGCTCAAATAAAGTTGAGGTTTTTTTCCCCAAATATTTATGTCAGAGTCTGAGGGTGTTTGGGGGCCTGATAGCATGAAGAGGCCCTAGGTCATGTATGAAAGAGGAGTAGAAAGAGTATTTATGTACATCTCTCCAGTGACAGACAACTTCTGAGCAATCAAAAGTTATGCATCATTGCAAATTGGATAAGAGAATTTCTGTTAAAAGAAGCAGCTGAAGCAGTGGCATGCTGCATAAGCAAAATGGTAGATTACTAAGTATATTTTTTTTATGTTTTCTATTTTTGAGTACCTACTGTGAGTGCCAGGTGCTTAAGGATCTGTGCCCAAAAGCAGTATTTTCTGTCATTTGTAGAGAAGCTATACGCCAGATTAAATGCTGGACCAGTGGAAGCTTTCTGTTGAAAATACTGTTTAGCTACAGAATTCTTCTGGTTTTTTGGTAAATAGATTTAAACTTCCAAATGCATTTATACAGAATTCCAAACAGCCTTCACACAGTAAGGTTACTGCTTGTAAGTCTCTTTTGCACACAAACTGAATGGAAATGGTTTGGAAGGGCTTTTTTAACACTGTATGAAGGAATGGATTTTTTTTTTTTTCCTTTTAGAGACAAAAATCAAGATGTCGAGTGTGGGACATTTACTATTTGAAGCATGTTCTGTACAAGAATAAAAGCAAAAATAGTCTAACGTTATTGTGGTACTACTATTTTTTTCCTCTTCTACAAACTTGAGCTGACGTTTTATTCAATTAATAAGGAAACTTATCAAGGTATAATAATTTCAACCCTTATCTTTATAGCAGCTGTTGTGATTTCAGAGTATGTTTGAAGATACATAAACCAGCCTTCCACACTGGCTTTCAAGTATTTGTTTCAAATCAAAGAACAATTGCCTAACTGAGTCATCCAACTATGTATCAGAACACCTGAGTTTTATGCCTTCAGGCAAATTATTGCCTAATTTTCAGGTGTCATGCATTTATTTAACTCCCACTTATATAAAACAGAGTTGCAAGAACTTGGTACCTCTGAAACTTGTTTTTAAACCATTTTGAGAATATCTTCTTTGCAGATGCATTGGAAAGCTGTCTTAGTGTTCACACTACATTTTGAAATGTTTAGTAAGAGCATTAGAGAAATGCAGTCATTACTTGCAAATGTTTCATTGGAACAGTCCTGTTGTCTTCTCATCTCAGTGCAGTACCAAGCCACCTTTAAAGAACCTCACAATTAAACATTACAGTTTATTAGACAGAACAGAGCAAGAGAGGGAAGGAGCTTGTGATGGGTGACAGGCTTTTAGGATGAAAGCTGAAGGCTGGAAGATGATGAACACAGGTGAAGAGCAAATGGTGGCGAAGTAGGACCAGGCAATCATGGGTTCCCTATTCTTTAGGACCCCTACTGGAAGGATCCAGAATCCATGATTAGAAATAAGACATACGAGCCCTGCTTTTGATAACATTAAGAAGCCAGAGATCAGAACTCAGTGGATTTTCAGAGCTGGTTGAGGAAGTAGCCAGAAAACTCAAAATCACAATTCTTTGTAATGAATTGCATTCTGTATTAAAAGTGTCATATCTTTTGGGTTAGTAGCGTAGGTAGGCTTATTTGTGACAAGTGGTATTTGTATTTGTAAGAAAATTACATCAAGATAAAAAACAGCAGTTGCTGGACAGACCAGATGGATTTGGGTAAGTTTGTTCATGAGGGTTTGGAGATGGGTGTAGAACAAAGGGTTGCTTTTCAAAAATGATTTATTTAGAAAATAAAGATTCATTAAAGGACAGAGGTAAAAACTTACCAATAAATGTATCAAATGCAATCATCAGAATAAATCCACCAAATCTATGAATAAGAAGTTAATAAAAGTGATTAAATTTCAGCAGACCCATACCTACAGGATCCCTAATTAAGGTGACTGTGAATCCAACCAATTTTTACTGGAATCCTCAATATTACAAATATCACCTCATGCTGCAAGAATTAAAGCAGGCTCATTTGTAAAACTCTTCAGCCAAGGGTGGGCACATGCACTAGACTGGTGAATTAAGCAAAAGGAGAATTGAACATGTTCCTTTTACTACCTCTTTCTGCATGAAAACAGCAGGTAATTTTTGCATCATCCTCCCATTGCTAACTTATCCAGTCTACTCAGCTCAGCAGGACTGGCTTGATAGGAAGAAAATGGGGCTAAATTTATTTGGCCACTGTCTTTTTTTTTTTTTTTCCCTGTTTTCTATTCTTGCTGATTTGCAAAGTCTCAGGTGGCTGAGTTGTGAGTTGTTTGTCCAACAGCTCCTTTGTTCTGATCTGTGCTTCTGCAAAAACTGGAAAAACCTGTTCACTTGCTTTTTTTTTTTTTTTTCATCTTCCTCCAATTGGTAGCTGCAGCTTGTCAACATGTAGACAAGGTGGTGCCTACCTTTCATGTGGAAAGCTGCCTTACAAAAACAGGTTGTATTTTCCCTTATCCCAGAGTTTTTCTAGACTCATACAGGCTTTGGTGGATCCTCCATGACCTAAACTCCATTTGCTTTCTATGAAATGTGTTCAGGTAATTATCTTATTTCTCTTGAAGTAAAAGGAAGGTGTGTCTCCAGTGCAGTAATTTTAAATAATAATTTATGAACTTTAGGAGATTTGCCTTGTGAAATGTATTTTTTTGGACACAGAAGTCTGTCTGCCTTACAGCAACTGCGCATGGTGTGGTGTTAATATCTGTAAGACAGAGCAAACAAGTGAGGAGGAAAGCTAGTGCAAAAAGCGGACGAATTGAGAAGAAACTTTTGTTTCCATCTCCTTCCTTTTCTTCTTGCTTTGTGCTGCTGTTGGAAGAAGAATGGGTCAGCTATGTGGACGATGTATGCAGCTCCTCCGGGACTTCATAGGCTTTGTTCAAAGGATGTCCTCTGACTTGGTGCAAGGCATCAAGGAATGCTTAATTCTGATAAGCAAATGCTCCTGCTTAAAACAAAACAGCTCTAAAAATGGACAGCTGTACAAGCCCATCCTACAGCCTCATGAGAGAGTGACAGCACAGGAGTTTCTGCAGCATATTGAAACAGGTAAGAAGAATTGTCTTTTTATAAAGGATTGTGAAAGAGCAAGGGGATTAATTTTGTTGATTGAAAGCAAATTGCTAGCTGATCTGCTCTGATATGGCATTGAGCAGCTCAGTGATGATGAGGAAAGACCAGAGCTACAGAGCATTTTCTGGGTGTACCGGACACCAAGTTGGATCTAGGTAGAAGTGAATCACTTTCTTGCTCTGTTGCTACTGTTAATATATAACTCATGTAAATGTGTTTCATAAAAGTGTGTCCTTCTAGAAATTAAAGTTACTTTTTTGAAGTCAGTCAAAAGGAACTGACAAAATTGAACATAGGCTTTGATAAGACTGGATGACATGTGAGTACTGAGCTGTGAGTGGGTAGATCACAGTGTGATGTGCACAGTTGTGCACCTCTGTGTTTGTTGAACACTGGGACTTAGCTAGAAATGTCTGGGCTATACATGGAGAAGATCAACGTCAACCTGAGACAAGCTGCATTGGGCTCTCAGGATTCCAAGCAACTGTGCTTTTGTGCAAACATTTTAGACATCAGGCTTAATCACATTCATGGGATTCTCCTTGAATCAAAGTAGATCCATAACTCTTCATATATCTCCTTTGCTTTACAGGCTATCTGCCTAATTCCCCTCTATTTCTTTGTGATATCCTCTTTGTCCTGTCCTAGGATACAATACCAATAGGAAAACTTGGTTTTTTATTTCACTTCTGCAGTTATCTTGAATGAGTGTATTTTGTCAGTTGTCCAATCTAAAAATAGTCCTTATCTCAAGATAAAGGGGTCATTGCTTGTTTGGTTTTGCTGTCTCACAACTAATTTGGTATACTTTGTGTTTTACAGCTTTGGGTTAAAGCTACTACACAAAATTGCATAGTCCCCTACTTTCATTTGTGTGAAGGGTATGGAACTATTATTCATTTACTTGTCTTTTTGATAACATGAAACAATCTTGTAAGGAGAACCAGGAGAGACACTTTTCCTTGATGTTACATGGTTAATGCTGTTTGAAATGATCTGTCATTTCAATGATCTGTTGAAATGGAACAGATCTGGAATAATTGCTTGACTATTGTTGTTGGGAACATGTGTGGATTAGCCTCAGTTGGTATTAGTTGGTGCTATTATCCATATATGGATATGAGTGTATGTAGTGAATGTAGTTAGTTCTGTGCTGCTGGTAAGGTTCACTGATTGTTGCACCTTTGGCACTGGTTTAAATCTTGACACTCATATCCAGAATGGAGACAGATCTTTCAGCTTGTTACACAGTGGAGATCTTCCAGGGCTGGACCTTCTCTTCCAAAGTCTAGCATGCTCCTGACTATAGGAGACTGTCTTGGCAGTATGCCCACACAGCAGATGGATGAGATGTAATGAAGGGGATGCCAGAATGGCCCCTTGTAGCAGCCACTGCTGCTCCCTGAAAAGACTAAGTGTGTGTTTTCTTGAGAGAGCCTTTCCTCTCTGAGATCAGTCTTCAGAAGTCTGGTCTGTCTTGGATCCATAGGAGCTGGGGTACATCAGCAGGAAGCCTAGAGCTTCTCTGGCAGCAGTACACAGATGACAATGAGGGTTTTCAGGGAGGTCCCACTGCCCATGACAGGACACGTACAGCACCCAGGAAGCAGAACCAAGGTTCTGGTTCTCTGGATGGCCAAATTTTACTGCCTAGACAAATGGAGGCAAGGAAGCCTCACAAAGAGAACCAAGACACATCCCTCTTACTTTAACACTCACCTGTGTGTTTATTCCAAGAGGGAGCAAGCTTATCCTCAAAACAAAATATAATAAACAAAATATAATAAATATGAACGAAATAAAATAGAAACAAAATATAATAAGCAAAAAGACAGTGTTTGGACAATTTGGGTGCAAGGAGAGACTTCATGGTTGATCATCACACTCATCTGTTAGCCAGGGCAGCAAATTTTGATATTTTAAGCAGGTGAAAATTTTGACAACAAAACCACATACAGAAGAATCAGATAGATTCAGGTTCAGATAGTGAAAGGAACAGAATAAAACCACATGAAGAGATTTTTTTGTTTGTTTGGTTGTTCGTTTTTTTTGGTCTAAAACCTTGCACACACAGGCAAGTCCTTCCCTTTGTGTATACTACTAATTATTTTTAAAAAATATATTTATATAAGCAGTTCTGTGAAGCTCACCTAATCCTGAGGATAAGAGTTTGACATGTCAGCAGCTTCTAATGGCTTGAGATATTGTCTGTTTTGCAGCGAGGCATGAAAACTCATGCCCCTCACATCCCTCACATTTATTTGTCCTATGGGAGGTAAAGTAGCTAGGCATTTTTCACAGAGATCTCTCAATCATTATTGCATAGCTTTAATCTATTTCCTGAAAATATATCTTATAATTGTATGCTCCACCAGTTGATCAATCATACATTACCTTTTTTACTCTGTTCATTCATTCAATGTCCCATTCCTTTTCCTCTCTGCTGCTCCATTCCACATATTATATTATACAGTGACTTACAGAAGTCATGCATGACTGCTATTGCTTGATGACTGTTGTTAAACATCTGGTTTATTCATAGGGGAGCTATCATACTCGAGAACAGGTAGACTCATGCTAGAAATTTAAGCCTGAGGCAAGCCTGTTTGCAGTCCACGTTGCTGTTCCTTTAAATCCTGTATTTCAATACCCAGGACAGGAAACACAGTGAACTTCAGATGTGGTAAATTAGAAATAGATACCCTTTCTATACTTACAAATATATATAGAAATACAAAATAAATTAGAAATATATACTCTTACTTAACTAAGAACACCATGTTCAGTGTTTTAACAAAGATTCAGAAAAAAATAAATATTTTTGTGCATTTATATAGATAGCATAAAAGTGTCTAAAGGTTATAATTTATCTTGTTTCCAGTCCCTAGTTTTGTGAGCTTTACAAGAGGCATTGCCAAGGGCAGGTTATACCCAGTTCATCTATTGCTTCTGCTCATGGAAACATGAATAAAGATAGATGGGCTTTATGGAGTTGTTGCAGTACAAAAATTCTTATGTGTTTGGCTGGCTTTAAATTTTCTTTTTGTAAACTAACCCTTTACAGATGTAATTGAGCCTGTGCTGTCATTTTTCATCTTTAGATTTTGAAATGTCTCCACTGGGAAAGGACCCTTTGGAAGCCTTGAGGACCTTATCCTTTTCAGAAAACCCAGCTTTACAGCAGTCAGCTGCCCTCTATTACTTGCATATGAGCCAGCACAGTAAGTTGTCTCAGTAAGCATTAGAAAATGTTCTTGTAATTATAAATAAAAATATTATTTCAAACTGTGAAACTCCTTTTGATTCGTTAAACAAATTGTTTTTTTTCTTTGCTTTCATGCCACATTTTTTGCCAAGGAAGATAGAAAACTGTCATTGCCATGTAGGCAGAGTCAGTTCTGGGTTTTGCTATAAGGAGATATCTCTTATGATCATAAAAGACTTATGAAATTGTTATACTTATGTGAAACCCAGCAGAACCCAAAGTATTTAAAGTTAGTGTATACTGAATCTCCTGAAAGCATCACAGTCAAAATATGGTGAAAGGAAATGGACAGAGTGATCAGTTAATGTTATAAATTATATACAAAAGAGGACAAAGCTCCAGAAGATAAATTGTAGTAGAAAATTATGAAAGACACATTCTTCTTTTTTCCAAATATTCTGTGGGAGCACTTGGCTCTTGAGGTAGTTTGTTAGTAGTTAGGAGCCAGACTAGATATCCTAAAATAAAATATCAGCAAGAGTTTGAATTCTATAAAAAGGTAAAAATACTAGCAATAAGGAGGTTGCAATTTATTTATTTGCTTATTTTCATTTTACTTCAAAGAGATGATTCTGTCACTTGAATGATAGCTTTACCTGTGTATTATCTGCTGGATAAAAAGTGCTGGTAGCCACAATGCAAGGACCTGCTGTGAGGCAGAATGACTTGTTTGGTAGCAAGGTACACTGCTTCCCTTCCCATGATGTTTTTTAAGTACCTGAGTAGTCAAAACCTCTTCAGGAAACTTGTCCTGTTTGCTAGTAGCAGTGGAATTTTAAAGAAGGTGAATACCATTCATCCTGTATCCAGCCCTGAGGGAGCACCTCATGCTTAAGTCCATCAAAGGAAAAATGTGACTGTGATGAACAATGGGACAATATTTCCTCTCACTCTTGCAGTGAGCATCCCCCTACCTGTGGAGCATCTGGAACCCTTCTATGCCTTACTACGTTCTGCTGACCTGGAAGTGCAGCAGATGTCTTCCTTGTCCCTTGTCAACTTCCTGCTGGAAGGAAATAGTGAGTAATTAATGACACATCTCCCTTCAGACGAAGAAGTGTCTGTTCAGCCACTCAGACAGAAGGAGGGCACTTCTATACAAATCTAGATTCCTTTTTTTGTGTTCCTGATAGGACAAGTGTGAGTCTAATTCTGACTGCAAGATTTATGAACTGGACCTTAGCCTTAAATTGCTTGCAGATCAAAAAAAAAAGGTTTAAACACTTAGTATAATTCACTTGCTTCTGTAATTAAAGGGGAAAACAGACGTGAAATAGAATCTGGAGATGCAGAGGAATAACTTTCTAATAAAGTTTATGATGATGGACAGGGCATGAACATGCCACACCTCATCAACAAAGTCCTTCTTGCATCTACTACTGCACTCCTGGGCACCCAGGCCACAAGAATTCCATCCTGCAGTCCCATAATAACAAAAGACAGGGTCAAACTTCAGCGAAGCTGGCTTTCTTCTTACTTTCTTTTTTTAAGAATTTTGCTGCAAATAATATCATGTCACTATTTACAAAGAAAAAAATAATATTTAAAGGGTAGACCTCAGAAGGAAAAGAAAGGGTGGGGGAGTTGCTGAGTAAGCTGTGAGCCTATTGGAAAGCTGCAGTTGCTCTTGCCAAAATCAATCTGATTTGGGACCTTCTGGCCTAACAGCTCCAAACATCTGTTACACTTTTTCATGCATCTAAAGAAGAATTAAGCAAACCCAGCTAGGGAATGTGAGTGGATTTCTGGCTGTTTCTATCTTAGGTCTATTTTGTATAATCATAATGTAGATTTCTAAGGCAGTCAATGGATGATGTATTCTTTCCACAAAATCACAAACTGCTTACTTTTTTATATTTGTCCATTTTTTCTTGAATTTTTGAATAGTTGACAAAGAATTAGTTGTCCAAATGGGTTTACTTGAGCCAATTTTGGATCTGCTTGAATCAGAGGATCCCACTGTCCAGTGTAATTCCTGTGCCTGCATCATGACTTTGGCAGTTTCGGGTGAGTGTTCTCTTTGCCTTTATCTTCTGCTGTGAATTCATTCAACTCTTCCATCATATTTTAAGATGAAACAACGTATTTGCAATTGGTTTAAGAGTCATAAGATACAACAACAAGTTTTATTATTCCCACATTATAAATTCAACCTCCTGACATTCCAGTTATTTTTCTCAGTGTTTCTGACCTTTGTGTTCTTATGATTACAAACCTTTTTCTGATTTTCATCCTAAATGTATTCATGACTGGCTTATCTTAATTAATGTCTACATTGGCTTTTGCTTCAGGAGTTCTGTCTCTCTGATGCCTGTGCTGATGAGGCTCCTTCATTTTACTAGACTGAGAAAGCCAAGGTCTTTTAAGACTCCTCTTGTAAGTGAGACTCTCCATTAATCTTCAGAGTCCTTCTGGTTGTAAATAATATGTTCCAGGAATGGAACATAGGATTTGCATGTGCTGTATAATGATGCCACAGGCCTCAGGCACTGTTACAGTGCCAAGATATAGATAAATGCTGGAGGAATTCCATTTTGGATTCATGTCTTCTGAAAGAGAAGTCACCAGAAATGTGCAGTACTTCAGCTGGGGTCTCACCTGTGCCATTTATTGTGGCGCATATAGAAATATGTTTTGTGGTACATCGCATGGTAACACTTACAGGTTTGGTGATTGTGCCATGATGATGCTGTCATCTACAGCTGACTTAATCACTTAGTCTTGCTCCTCCTCTGCTGCTATTTCCAGGAGATACCAAGTAATCAGGCTCTATATCACAAATGCTTCCAAGTGCACATCCCTGCATTTTGTACAGGTTTCATTCTGTTTCCATTGCTTCAGTATTCTAACTTGTCTGTTCTTTGTAAGGTATTCTAGTCTTCCACTGCATTGACAATTCTACACTCACATCTTTGTGTTAAGATCAAATACAGCCTAGTCCTCATGGAACTCCATTTGTAGCCTCTTCCCAGGTGGTCATTTCCATTCAGCAAAACTTGCTGCCAGTTTGCTTTCAGTCAGTTTTTTTTTTATCCATCATGTACGACTTGCATTTGCCACCATCTTCTGCTTAACTATGAATATTTCATATAATGATATTAATATTTTCCTGGTATCCAGACAGGTAAGTTCAGCCACAGTTACCAAAAGAAAGGTTGTCATGTTAGTCTGTCTTACTCTACCTTGTGCAAACTCATAGTTCTCCAGTACAAATTCTGTATGAGTCTGTAGAAAAGCCACGTTTTCACATTTGTTTCCCTTCCTGTAGCCAGCTTCCTTCTCCAGCATGGGAAGGTGCAGTCTGATGTCCCAGAAGGCTGAGGGAAGCATGATGAAAGTGTTAATTTCTCATTTAAGTATTTATGTTGCAAAGGAGGAGTGGATAAGCAGGATCCAACCACATGAAAATGCTGATTTGCATTTTATCCCACCTCTTTGTTTCATTTTCAGGTTTTTAAACACTTTTCCCATAGGAGCTTATTTTTAAGCATTGTATATTATTGTCAGGTTAAGAATTCTACATACTACATTACTTTGTGTGGAATGCAAATTGCCTCATTTAAATGTCTTAATTAGGCATGGCATCACTAAACTTTTAGGTACTTGGCTCTAGAATGACTTTCTTTGTGGAGGGACAGTGGAGCTAAGCCCCTTAAAATTACAGAGAGATGTCCCTTCATCTGTTTTAAACAGTCCACAGAGAAAGTGATGTGTTCGGGCACCTAAGGATATTACTTCCTCTTGAAGACACTCTTACCCTTCTAGATATCTAACGTGGAATATAGGGAACCCTCAGCTACTGCAGATCCAGGCTACCTTCATTCCCTGTGGTCTTCTAATGCCTTTGCACACTCCCTTAAGTGCCAGTGTCCTTCTGAGCACAAGTACTCCAAGTTAAACACCCAAGGAGCTTTCAGAGCTGTACATAAAGGTAGGCAGTCCTGCATAGGCTGGGTTGCTGCCTGGTATTTTATCAGTGTTGAGGATCTCTGTCCCAGTTTAACTAGAGTTTAAATGGGCTGGATCCATTTATTTGTTTTTCAGACTATACTTAGATACCACAGCAATGAGACTAAAGCAAGAGGGAATTCTCCAGGGTTTATTTTAATTTTAACTCACAGAATCTGGTATTTTTAAGTGTCTGCTTGAGAAAAGTATCATGTTCAGTCATATCCTTCAAGAAGACCATTTATGCAAAAAAGATAAATATTGAAGCACAACCAAATTAGGAAGATCCTTAGATGTCTTTAAGATGACTAAAATTCTGCATCTAAGAATGGTCTTACTTCTGTTGCAACAAGCATGCAAGACTATGTACAGAGCAAAACTGTTTAGCAGTGTTACTGCAGGTCATGTGTAAACTGGGTTGTCTCCCTGCTGCAATAGGGAGCTGAAAATAAGAACAAACTAACCCGTTCAGATGAAAAATATTTGAAGGTTGGTTTTTTCCAACACCAGCATTTGTCCACACAGCAAAAGGACACATGCATAGTTGCAATTATCTACAGCTTTTCAGTCAGTGAGTGAAAGTAATCAGTTCTGAAATAAGAACTCAGAGTACTTCAGAACAGAACTAAATGTTCATATGTTGGGGGTTTAGGGGGGCCTGAACATCTGCTTTAAGCTAAAACAAGGAGGATGCACTGAGTGTAAAGCACACAAAGTTCTGATGGGAATGTTTAAGCACACAAGTGTCAGAGAGATAAAAGAAAGAAGTTATAAATTAGTGAGTTATTCAAACACAGATTAAGTAGATGTTGATTTCCCCACTTTAGAGTAGCATCTTGAACACATGGCTTCCTTCTCCAAGCATTCCAAGGGGAGTCAGTGGTTGCAGTGGTATCAGTGGAGGGACTGCATTTTTTAAGACAAGCAGGTGGTCCAGGAGAGAAACATGATCTAGCCTGCCGCATCTCTTAGAGAGATGGCAATGCAGTTACACATCTTGGTGAGACAGATTTCCCCATCCAGTCTGTCATCATAAACTGGCAAAACAAGTGCTCAGGCACAATATCTGATAGAACAAAGAATTTGTCCAAGTTTTGTCCAAATGTTCATAATCCCTTTTCTGACGTGAGGTTCTTTTCCACATTCACAAACATTCATGGAGTATATTGTGTACAAGAATAAGGGAACCACTGATACCTAAATTCTTTCCTAATCTTTTTACTTCTCTTTTTTATTCACCTGAGTAGTCTGCATCACACCAGTCGGGGCCATACAAAAGACTTTCTGCTTCTACTGAGGGAAACAAAAGAATGGTATGTAGGCAGATTAGATTAGAGAAGGGCTTGTCTATGAAAGGGACCAGAATGTTTCACCAGAATAATAGCTTCCCACATGGAAAAGATATTTTAAATAGATTACTCTTCCCAGAACAATTATTTTTTTCCTTTTTTTTTTTTTCAGAATAAAAGTTATTTACTTGAGTATATACTCATAAGAAGACAGAAAATTACTTGCCCTGGAATATTAAACTGATACTCTGAACTAGAATAAATATCCTGGCTAATCTGTGTATGTCAATTCCCTACTATATAGACTTTAGGTATAAAACTAGCAGCTTTGTTCTCATAACTCTCCAAGTTAGTTACCATCCGAAGACTTGATCTCATCCAAATACCTTTTTTTTTTTTTTTGTTTGCTGTGTCTGCTTCATGTTTCTCTCAGCAAACTTCAACAAGCTGGCCATTGTTTAAACTGTGTTTAAATTGTTAATTTTACATAATTAAATATTATAATTTTTTTTACCAGTTTTTCATCCAAGAGTCCTAAGAAATTGTGCAGACCTTTTTTGAGATCTCCTTGTACTCCAGGATGTTGAATACAACTGTACAATTTAATACATTGCCATGCAAGGAATCACCACCACTTCAAAAAAGCATCATCTTTTCAAATTCAAATGGTTAAATCAAATTCTGTCTTTAGAAACCTCTGCACTGTTTTTAGATGTCAAGTGAGTAATACAAGGACCTTCCAAGAAAGAAATTGGCCTTGAATATACCCTACTAAATTAATTAAACCTTACCTGCAGTTAATGATGTAGTTTTTGGCTATCACACTGTGAACAGGTTGATCAGACATACCAAGGGTATGAAGAAAGTATGACACTCTGTTAACTTGTTTAAACTGTCTTAAGGATATTTTAATTATCCTAGTCACAAACCAAAAACATTGAACCTGCTGTGATTTATGGCTAATACAGAAGTCATGAGTTGGTTTCCTTCCTGTTAAGCTCTCAGAATTTTTAAGAGCATGCAGAGAAATCAGAGAAGGGAACACCAAGGGATAGTCCTGCTGCTTGTCCTGCTTGTGCTATCTTACTGTGAGCAGTAAGATAGCAGTAAATATTTCTTTCTTTCTTTCTTTCTCTGATTCTTTTCTCCAGAGTCCAACCAAGAGGCTATTGGTGCTGCTAGAGGAGTTACACCCCTACTGTCTCTTGCCAATTCATATGATCCCAGAGTCCAACAAAATGCAGTTGGTGCTATTCTGAACCTCACACAATCAGGTACTTTCAGACTAATGGTTAACTGAAATTGCCAAAAGAAAGCACACTGATAGAAAAATAAACCTAAAGGTTAAGGCAAGAATAAAAGTATATCTGAGCAACAAGTTATTTCCTCTGCCTATGGCATTCATGTTGGTACCACAGGTTGAAAACTTGATTTTCAAATCCTAGGGGCTAATGTATGAATATTAAAACAATCAGTTGAAGAAATAGAAAAAAAAAATAGCCATTTGTTAAAGAAATAATTTGGCCTAAAAAATTAGCAGGACATTTGGTGTATTTTAAAGCAATCTTAGGAGCTGATCCAACAAAGCCGAGCTTTAGGAGCTTTTTGCTTGTTCTGACTAACTCAATGAATGCTGGAATATCCTAAGGATAATTATCACAGATCAGACATTAAAGACTCCTGGAATATCTGCCAACAACTTTAGCAGAAGTAATACTTTGTCCTTTGCAATTATATGTAGACTACCATAATTAACTCTGAAACAAACCAGCATTAAATTTCACCTACCAAGATGATACCATTATTCCACAGAGCTAAACAATAAAGTCACGAGTAACATCTTTGAACTCTGTGTTGTAAAAGGAAACAGCTGGCAATAACTTATACAGTTGGCTATTGCATTTCTCATATTATTCAGAATATTTTAAATAATTTGTTTTTAAAACACAGAAATCAAAGTGAAGATCATACCTGAGGCTTTTCAGCTTCTCCAGCAATTCAGATTCTCAGAGCAGTTTTTAGCATAAAACCATCAAAAGCTTAATCAGACAGCCTGCTAGTCTTTTTACTAAAATATCTGCATACTGCTGCATTACACAAGTTCCAAATTATATATTCTCCAATCACACTGACTGGTATATATTTGGACAACATCAGCACTCTTTAGAACCCAAGAACTGTGCACATTTTTGAAAGGTGCCTCCAGATGAGAGGGAGGGAAGGAGGAAGACACTTTTACTTTTTCTTTTTAATGGCAGAGAAAATCCAACAAGTCCTATGCAAGGAAGGAGCCCTACCAGTTCTTGCCTTGCTTCTGGAATCTCCTGACTCAGAAGTCCAGGTATGACTAAAATAGGTCAGATTTTAAAACAGGAACATCGTGACTGTAAGGAGCACACAAACCTTAGTATGCAGAAATGAAAAGGGGGAAGAGGAGGGACGATTTCTCTAGTGAAGTGGAGAAACATGGGAGAACATCTTGGTGAAACTCAGCTCAGTCACATAATATATATTAAAAGACCCAATTTGTCTCACTGCACAGGAGAAAGTTTATGATGCAAAACTTCTCCTGCCAGCAGACATTAATGCATGCACAGGGTTGTTATGTGGCTACCTTCTTGTGTTTTTCAGATCATCAGACATGATGCAGATAGATCCCTTCCTCTGGGTTTTGGTTTTCTTGTTTGGGTTTTTTGTTTGTTTGTTTGGTTGGTTTTGCATCCTAGCCTTGATCATCCACTCTAAGCAATGTTACTAAGTATTCTGAGAAGATAATTTGAAAATATCTTTTTCTTGTTGTTGCAAATATCTGTAAAGCATTCTATTTTATGCCTGTCACAGACACCTGTTTGTGATTCTGCACACTCAGCAGAGAGCTCATCTTAGTGCAAAAGTATGCTGATAAATAAACTATGAATCAGAGTTGTATACCTTACACTGCTAATTTGTTTGTTCAGTCTTTTGAGTAGCACAGAACTTTTGCCCCATCAGTTTAATTATCACTAGTCAGATTTTTTTAGATGTCTGAAGGGATGGACCCTCTGGAATTGCTTTCTGCAAACTGTTTCAGCATTTTTAGATTTCTCTGAGATTCATCTTGAAACTTCCATCTCTGTAGCTCAACCTGTTTCTTCTAATTATACCTCCCTAGTAATAGATACTTTTATATGTGTAATCCTCCCTAGCGTTAATGGTTAGATCCTTTGGAAATGATCTCTTGGCATGCTAGGGCAATAGCTACATCCAGCTTGAGTAAATCAATGTAAGCATATAATACAGTAGATGCAGATGACTTAACTTAGATGCCAGCAGCAATGTCCTTGCAGCAGCAGAGCACATTCCCAAACAGCCAGGGTTCTAAAGAATGTACAACACGCCGCAGCAGGATTGCTGTAGCAGCTACAGCATGTTGTGTCAACCCTGGAACACCTTAAGATGAAAAAGCATTTTATTTCCATTGGTTTGAAATCTGAGCATTTCTCCAATTTATTTTTATTCTCTTCAGTGTGTCACCACTCTGACCTCTCTCTCTACATATTTTTCTTGGTTCTTTGCAGTATTACAGCTGTGCTGCCCTGAGCAATGTGGCAGCCAATGTTCAGCACCACAAAGCCTTGCTGAGACCCAGTGACAGATTCCTGCTGAGGACACTGATCTCTCTCCTATCCTCTTCTGTGGACAAGGTAAAGCTGCAGCTTTCTCTTTGTGAAAAGACTTAAGCATCCATGTAGAGCTATAGACTTGGGCTTCCAGTTTCAGCCTCACATCATTCTGTTCATCTACTGTAGAGGTACCTATGCAGCATCTTTCCCAGGAGAAAAGACACCTATAATAGAAAATACATAGGTTCTACAAGGTCAATGTAGGAAGAAAGCAGAGGGAAATTATTAAAGTTGTTCTACAGCCCTGGACACTTCCCATAGACTAGGATAGCCTGCATGCTATTAACTTGAAACATCATGTGAGAAGTGCCCTGCCCAGGCTCTGTCTTTGATCATTGTGTCTGTGACAGAAGTTGTCTGACACATCTGTTGTGCTACTATTTTTTTCTTCTTGGTATCTGGAACTTTTACTGTATGGCTTTGAGGATGACATCTCAAAAATTTTGCTTTGTTGGAAGCCACATCAAAGAAATTTCAAGAAACCACAGTTCCTGGTGCAACTTGAAATTCTGTGTAGAGGAGAGGTAAAAAAAAAGCAAAGCAAATGGGACAATTTATTTCCCTTTATTTTCTTATAACTTATCAGATGCTCTAAAATAAAACCAACATCTGAACACCATTCTTCTTCAACAATAGGATGACTGATACTAGGAGATTGAAAAAAATTTAATCAAAATGTTGAAAAAAAAAAGCATGTCAGAATTTATTCTTGAAGATAATGTAAGGGCTTGCTAGTGTTGTCTTGTTTATTTTGTGTGCAATAGGCAAGAACATGCATTACTGAAACTGCTCTTTCTCCTCCTCTCTCTGATTTTTAATTTTTTTGTTTTCCTCTTTGGTACAAGCAGGTTTCAAGCCAGGCATGTGTTTGCCTAAGAAACTTGGCTACCAGTGGTAAGCAATGTCTTGGAGATAAAGAAACCACACTATTTCTATCTCTCTCTTCCTTTCAGAGTGAGCACAGTGGGCTGGGAACCTTTCCTATCAAAAGCAGAGACATTTTCTACATTTTAACTGGATGTTAAGGGAAGAGGAAGGCGCAGTGCATATCGTAACTAAATTTGTTTTAGAGCTCCCAGGTAGCAAGAAGAGTCTCTGGAGAAAGTGAGAAAGGCAGCAGAGGTGTGCTAATGCACAGAGCCTTAGTGAGTTCCTTCTTTCTATGTTTCCTAAGCATTAAACTCAATTAGGACAGAATGTCTCCTGGAATTGCTTCTTGAGTGGGCACCTGTCTTCTCCAAGGCATGGTTCTGTCTATCATTAAACGTAATTTTCTCCCATGCATTTGTCATCCTCCTAAAAAACCCTATTAAATATCCAAGATTCATTTCTATGACATATTCCGGAGATAGTGGCAGAGGACTAGTACACTCAGTGCTAAAGTCCCAGACTCCAGGGTAGAGATATTCATCTAGAAAATGTAGAGGTACTTAAATTTCAAGCAGTCACAATTATACAGGAGCTGAGAGTGAAGGAAGTGCTGTGCCACTCCTTGACAGGTTTGAAACACCCAGTCTGCTTGACCTTTTAGATCTGCCTGTGCATGTGCTGGCTGCTCTGGTATTGCCTTTTAGTGCAGGTTGTAGGGGCAAGTGGGGTTTTACAACTCAGTGGGATGGCTGGGTTCTCTCCTGGCTAACCATATTTCTGTGAGATAGGTGCTGCTTGGGAGGTTTTTGTGTTTGTGCAGCAGAAGCTGCCAACTTCTTACCTGGCCTTATGCCAGCGATGGACTCAGAAAATTCCCCTCACTCTGTTTTTTTTTTTTGAGGTTCAGACACAGACTGAGGGTGTCCAAACCTACATTCTGCCGTCAAGCTTGTATTAATCTCTCAGCAAAAGGAAGCAGAACAAATGAGGATTTATTTTTATAACCAAACATCTGGCATTGCCCCATCACACAGAGTTGGAGAGGGCCCCTCTAATTTCAGGCAATAGTCAACTGTTTGAGTCAGAGCCTGAATTACTCCTGTAGTGCTCTGAACCCCCGTGACCTCCTTTGTTTTCCCACACCAGTGGACATCCAGGCTGAGATGGTTGCTGAGAACGTCCTGCCCAAGCTGTGCTCTCTCCTGGCCTCTGGAAACGAGGATGTGCGTCGTGCCTCCATTGCTCTGCTCTGGATACTCTCCCAGCACCCGCCCAACCAGGTATGGGAGGCCATCTCCCAAAAACAGAGGGGAAAGGCTAGTTCTGGCCACCACCTGGGGTAACACTCTTATGGCAAAACAGCCTATGAAATGCAATTTGAGAATGACAGAGACTCTGGGAGATTTCCCAACCCTTCTCTCTCCTACCCAAAATAACAAGGCTTCGTTTACTGCATCTGCACTGTCATTAGCTACCTGACGAGCCATCTTTGTGCTGAATGGGACCCAGAGGAGAGACCAGTGAGAGAGCAGAGGGGGACATGGATGTCAGAGTCGCTGGATACGTGGATAATGCCTTGCACTCCCTGCAACTCCCTCTAGTCCCTACAGTCCCCAGACCATAGGTCTCCAGATGCGTGTACAAGAGGGAGGGCATACACAGCACCATCAGAGACTGCCACCATGAGGGCAACCAAGGAAGTTATTTCTTGGCTACAGAGCTTCTACACACACTGAAAAGCAGAAAAACTGATTTAGAACACACATTTGAAGTGCATAAGTACAGAACAAAGGGAAAATATACATTACTCCCTACATGAACAGTGTTATTCAAAAGTACATTTGTAGAACATTGATATATTTTGAATTAGGATCAAAACAAAAAGGGGGACTAACAGAATTTGAAATGTTGTCTATCTTTAGTTAATGCATTGGGACTTTCACCAGGACTGTGTATCCTAATGTCCTAAGTTACAGAATGATTCTTGCGCCCATGTTCAAGGTAAATGCCACCATTAATAGTGCAACACTAGCAAACATATGAAGAAGTCTGACTACAATGAAATTACGGCAAGTATTGACAGATTACTCTTGTTTTTAAATAAACTTTTCTTTACAGTAATTAAAGACATCCTTAAAAACATAGATGTGAAAGGTTTTGGTAAGTGTTTTAAGCCAACAACAGCATTTGAAGGTAGTCAGAGGTTGGGTACATAGAAAAAAAATATGTGAGAACCTTTCCAGCCACATTGCTTCAAGCAGTAGCCACAGGGTCTGAATAGCTTCACGTGGCCTTAAGTGCTTCCTGTGCCTGATATACACTCAGCCTGATTGGAAATTTACTCTGGGTTTGGATAGCTTGGTGTGTTACAGTTCAGTCGTCTGTATGCAAACCAAAATCTCAACTCCCCTACCTCTGGGACGTGAATGGAAAAATTGGTGAGCTCAATGCCTGGGAAGCAGCAACTAGAGCACACAGCTATTCAAGGCACAGTGGCTGCATGAGCATCAAACATCCTCACTGCTCCTCAAACTGCCTCATACAGTCAAAACACAATTTGCTCTCAACAAGCTTACAGCTGAAATGTATTAAATTAGTTGAAGGCCATTTGCACAGTAGATGTTATTCAGTATGAGACATTATGCTGGAACATGGTCCTCATTCAGTTTTGCCTTTCTTGTCTCCAAACATAGTTTACATTTTTTGCTCTCCCAGCAAAGAGTACCCACAAATCCTTTTCTCCCTGGTCCTGAAGCTTGTCTTTACCAGCGTTTCAAATCCCTGGCCACAAAAAGACCTGGTCTGCATCAGTGGGAGCAAAGACACTATGAACTCAGCCTTGGTACACCAGTGGTGAAACAGCCCATCTTTCATGAAGGAAAAAGCGTCAGTAGCAGGAGGCTGGAAAGCAAAGTATCTCATTTTATTCTCCAGTGAGAAGTATCTACATCTCTGAATTTGTTTTAGTGAGCAAACACGGCTGTCCCTGACTACTGAGTGTTGCTGCTTTGTGCAAGCGAGCCCTGAGCACTCTGAGAAGAGGCTGACCTCTTCGTATTCATATCCTGCCTCCCCATCTCCATGCCCTTTCTGGCCTGTTTTACAAGTCTTTTCAATGTTTCTTTCTCTAACTCAGACTGAATTCTCCGTGACTGAAAAAGGGACTTCTCCATGGGAACAACTATTGGAAAACAGACCACTGAACAAAGCTAACCTTTACAACCAAGTCAAGTGATGCTTGAATTATTACAAATACTACCCAGGATACAAAGGGGCAGAATCCGTCTGCCCTTTCGTTACCATGAAGCAAACCCCCAGGAATGCTTCATAGGAGCTCCTTGCCGTGCTTCAGCCTCCTTTTTGCAATCCCCTGGTCAGGCTGTTGACAGGGATTCGCGACAAGGCCTGGAAAACTTCCCTCTTGCAGAGGGAAGTGTATTCAGTTTGTCCAAGGACAGTCCAATCCTGAAACACTAAAGAATCAGGCTTTGTGAGAAAACAGTCTTTTAAGTCAAATCCCCTTGAGCAAAAGATCTGGAAGTCAGGGTCTGTCTATTCAGGATGATGTCACTGACTCTTGACTCCAGGTACAAAATAACTCTGCCTTAACATCTTGCTAACTGGTAAATGGGATAATATTTACCTTGTCAAGAAATCCCTGTGTAAGGAGTATGAGTGCAGCATTGCAAATGTAAGCACACTTGCTGCTGGAATGTTTTCTCCTTGCCTTTAGGGTTTTTTTTTTAATATTCTAGTCTTGGGAGAAGTTAGATCAATATCCATCTGAATCACTCAATCTATTTTTACTCACAGTTTTCTCATGATTCTCTTGCACTGTGCAAAATTGAGCCAGAAAACAAAATGTGGATCTCAGCCATATTCCAGCCAAAAAAAGAAGTTCAGCAAAATTCAAGTACTGTCACTTGCTAATGTAGGTCCCAAATAAACAAAATATCTTGGCAGGGAAGTAATGAGATATTAGAAAGTTTCTTTATAATCCATAGAAAATTTCCTCCTCTCAGGCTGTAGCAAATCAAAAATGAGTACGACAGTTGATGAGATTACATAGAAAGGAGGCTATTTGGCCCCAAAAGCATAGAAGACAGTCATCAGTGGGAATTTAATTGGATTATCTAAAATTATATTATTTCTTCCTTTAGAGAAAACAAAAAATAAGACTAAGGAAAATTTACTGTCATATCTGCATACAGAATTCTTTAAATGCCCTGTGTTTAGGCACAGAACTGCCCTTTCCACTTACTTGCCTATTTTATTTTTGGATTGGTGGTTGTGACAGTGCTTAAAATGAGCTAAGTGAAAATGTCATCTGGTATTAAAAGAAAATAAGATACACTTTTGCAATTTAACCTAAGCAAAAGAAAGAATAAAGTTAAACTAACTTTTAAAGACATCTGCCTCTCAACACAGCTTTAGTGATCCTGATATTTCAGTTTTCAGAATTATGTGATTTTTTGCAGCTGTTTTGACCAATTATTTGCTTTATATTGAATTCACTTGCTAATGCATCTCAGTTTCCAAATAGTACAAATAATATAGTTCATTTTGAACAAACAGAACTGCATTAAAAACTCCTAAATTCCTATGGGAAGGAGACTGAAAGAGAAAACACTCCCAAGAGGAAATATTTTGGTTTTAACTGGAGACCTAAAATAAACTCTGTTGAAATCAGGTTTCTCTTACACACAGCAGTGCCCCCTTAATCCATATTGTTATTGAGGGAACTACCTGTACAGTAATCCAGACTCCAATCTGATACTACAGGACAAGAATAATGGCTTCAAACTGAAAGAAAGTAGGTTTAGATTTGATATTAGGAAAAAAAAATCATTACTGTGAGGGTGGTGAGGCACTGGAACACATTGCCCAGAGAATTTGTGGATGCCCAATCCATGAAAGTGTTTAAGGCCAGGTTGGATGGGGGTCTTGGCAACCTGGCCTAGTGGAAGGTGTTCCTGAACATGGCAGGGGGTTTGGAACTAGATGATCTCTAAGGTCCCTTCCAACCCAGGCCATTCTGTGATTCAATTAATATTAATGGTAACTGGAGGAAGACTTAATTCACAGAGAAATACCTAGCAAACTACCTCTAAAATATCATCAGACAACAGAGAAATGTGTGTAAAGAAGATGTTGTTCAGGACATGTTCACTGAAGAGGTGCCTGATCACAAACTGATCTAAACCTACAACTCATTATTGCAGCCAGGTAAATTGCTGGGGTACTCAAGAACACACTGCTGTGGCTACTTCCCCATGTAGCTCTGCCTTTCACAGCGACCCTGACAACCTCTCCTTCCAGTTGGGATCACACATCCTTCCCCTGACTAGCAATGACCCTGGTGAGGCCTTTGATGGAAACAACCATAAACTACACAACCTTGAGGACTCCAGCCTTCCATAGCAAGTGCTCAATAGTCAGACCATATGTGAGAGAAGCAGCACTGGACCCAGCCACATCCTTAGTTTAAATAAGCAAACTAATGCTCTTCTTGCAGAGCTAAGTTCAATTTCTCCATAGCTGACTGCAAAGCTGTGTTGTGTTGTCCATATTGGATGTAACTGAGATACTGGTTGCTCTTCTCAGGACACTCTGGCATGTTCTGAGCTACTGCAGAGCCTGGGGACGTTACTGGCAGCACATAAAACAGACCCTGTGATTGTTGGACATACTGCTTGCATCATCAAAAACCTGAGCCTTTCCAAAAACAGACAGGTAGGTATACAATGTTTGTCACTGTGAGGTTGCCATTGTGTTTATGTCAAATCAGCATTAAAAAGAATAATTAATTCTGTGGGTAATTAAACATATGCCAACTTGCTATATATTTTACACAAAATTGCATGTATGAATAAAAGGTTCAAAAATTAAAGGTAGTTTCATTCATATTTTCCCAATACAATACAAAAAAAGCTAATTAAAATAAGAAATACCTAATTTTTGCTATGAGCAGTGTGGCTACCTGATTTAACTGTATCATAGGTATAAAAATATCTTCTAGCAAGGACATTTCATACTGATTAAAGGAATCATTCAGGAAAATCTGAGGTCTGTTATGAACTCAATCTTTATTTCTTAGCTCTCATGCTTCAGCTGCTGTTCGTTGTGAAACAGAACCCCAGCTATTGATGTATATTTTACCTCTTTGGCAAGATACTAGCTATGCCAAAATGCTATAAAGATCCCTCTTGCTGACTTCAAAATCCATATGCATGGATGCACTTCCTTTCTCCTTGCCTTTTAGAGTACCTTGATCAAACAGTACCACCAGTAGCAATTAATTTGAGGGGAAAAAACCCACCAAATCCTCATTTTTGCTTTGTCTCACTTCCTAGTACCTACTTTTCAAGACTCTGTTCTTTTTTTTCCCTCTTTGTTCATGATCCAATTACTACTATTTCCAGAGATTTAAACCAGCCAGAAGGAAAATTATGGGTTTTTTCAGTAATATAAGAATTATATAAATTTCTAATAGCTGTGTCATCAAGTTTTGCAGGAAACTAGATTCTCTTAAACTCAAGGCCCACAGTAGGAATAAAAATAGACCATCCATTCAAGGTTTGACAAATATTTTATATTTTTGAAATACTAAAATTCTGTGACTTTATCCTGTTATCAGCTGGGAGCTGCTTCACCTTCATAAAGCTTCATAATTGTGAGAGTATCAAGCTCTCACTGCATAAGTGAATACACAGACATGAGTGGGAGTGCCAGGTTTCCAGGGCAGATTCTAAGGAACGCTTCCTAAAACACATTTGTCCTTGGCACAAGAGGAAAAAGGCAGTCCTATTTCTATGCCAGCAGGACAGAAACAGAGTGTGAAAAGCAGTAGTTTTGTATTCTCCTTGAATCTCTAAACAACATAAAACGAGTATCAGAAAAAGATACTCTCTTTTGTTGATAGACACCTGAGCTCACTTGGGGAGCCATGAGTAGCTTCCATTGTTAGGTGTCCCAGAGAGCTGATGACTTCATGATTCAACTTCAGTAGTAACCAGTCCAGCTGACTCATTCAGAACTCATCTCTTGGTCTCATTTTTTGCTTTTAGTCCAGGTCAGGACAGGCTAAGTCTCCTGTTTTCAACTCAGTCTATAGAAGATTTATCTCAGCACAGGTGATCTCTGAACAATCCAAGGTGTTTTCACCTGGTTGTGGCAGATCTGGGAGGAGACATTTCTATTATTGATGGTTTCACCTCAGGACTTCTGAAGTCCTGAGGAGTACTTGTGAAGCCCCCAGACACCACTAAACCATAATGGAAGTACTAAACATGAATCTCTCTCTTGTGGCAGAGAATCACTGAGAGCTGCTGTGTTGAAGGTCTCCTCCAGACCATGCTTTTGACTGACACTCAGGAAGACTACCTTCGTTATGTGACATCCTGCCTTGCTGAGCTAGCAAAGCAAGGTATGGCAGCAACCCTCCATGAATGACTGAATCAGAGACGTGCACGTGTCCTTTATTAATTCTAAAAGGAGCTGGAGCACAGCTGAACACAGAGCCAAGTCTTTCCTTTTAAATTCATTGTTTAGTTGTAAGTTTCAAAAACAAAATCCAGTTCACTGTCAGGATACATTGTCTGCACTTTTGTTCAACTGTTTAAAGTTTTTTACTCTAATTTTTTTTTCTGCTGAACTTTACTGCTGTACATGGCCTGTCTACTTCTATTTGTAACATTTCCCAGTTTCCCAGGCTGAAATAATTTTATCCTTGCAGAAACTGTTAGACTAAAATACCAAGTAGGTCTATATCTTGACATTTTTTGCACATGGATTTTATCAGAGATACCAAATTGGCACTCATGAAAGGTACAGCACTCTTTAAAGCAGAAAGGATGTGTGTACCAACATGCCCCAGCATTGGATCTGTCTGTCAAAGAAGTCATCTCTTTTATCTGGTGTAATGGCCATGCAGGTGGCTACACGTCACATTTAATTTTGCAAGCAGAGCACAGTAGCTGCTGGACCGACTGAGCCCAATAGGCTATGAGTGGATCTTGCACATAAAATGATTCATTTTTCCAGAACAAAAAGCCAAAATAAGAACCAGATCCATGGCTTTACCTTACTGAGAGCATAACCTCAAAATATGACCCTTTTTTTGCAACCTAAACATACTTATTAACCAAGTTCAGCACTTATTTTGCTTCTCCAATTGCATTAAGGATTCCCTATTTCAGCAGTTTCTGGCAGACCTCTCACCTTCATTTCTTTGACACTGGAGTTGCTATTTAGAGACTACTCTCTTACCTTTCTGCCTTTCAGAAGGAGCCATGTTACACATGGTCAAGTGGATGGATGAACCTTTGACAAAGTGCTTGGTAAGACTGGCTGGCCAACTCGAACATCCTGAGCCATCTTTCCATGCTGCCTCCATCATCCATCACACGATCAGTCACGGTAACTTCTACAGGATTAACTATGCTTTGAAGGAGATTTATGGCTGTCTGGAGTGAAATTAGCCTTTTTCCAAAGGACTGTCAGGCACTGAACAACTTTAAATATTCCTCTATCATGCCCTCATTTGGTCTCTATCAATTTTTTTAGAGTACAAATGCCTATAGCCAACCTTGAAATAAAACAGTCCTTGAGTGCATGAGAAACTCCAGGGATGAAAGTGGACCATAGATCTGATTTACATGTTTTTTGCCTTCTTCAAGAACTGCTATTCTGCAGGGCTGGTCCATAGCCAATTCTGAGGTCCTTGCAAACAACTTCAGTAGGAAGGTGGGAGACTATTAAGATACTCCTCACCATGGGAGAGATGAAAATGTATTTCAGGCAAGGGTCACTTCAGACAAGGTTACATCTTTCTGTTTGACCTTTCTCAGTATGTAAAATGTGATGGCATCATCCCCCACAGACAGCAGAGGCTGTGTTCCAAAATTTTAGATTAACTCTGCTCCCTGCCCAGCAAGAGAAAAACTGTTACTGAACCAAGTCCTAACGATATAGTTCTAGACTAAATTAGCAGGAGCAGTGAAGTGGCTTTTAGGAATGTAGCCAAAATTTTTCAAGTTTCAATGAGAGAGAAAAAAAGAGCATTATTTTTACCTGTAGAAAAGCTTTATGCTTAATATACTTGTCTCATGCAGGTGAGAGCCTTTAAGACTTGCAAGAAAAGGTGTTCAGATGATACTTGACGCATTCTCTAGAAAGGTATGGTTAGATTTTAGACATAGAAAAACTGAAATCTGTGGTGAGTCCCCAGTAAGGGAAAATGCAAATCTATTTAATTTCCAGCATAGAGGATTTGCAACAGAGCAGACTCTCTCAGGTAGTGAGCAGAATCCAACAGTATAATAATCTCATGGATAGCTTCACGTACCTGGCTAACCAGTCTATAAATCAGCAGGTGCCTTGCACAGGGATCAGATTCCCAGCACAGCAGCCCACTCATCTTTTTACCTCAAGTATCAGCAATATTATCAGAAGCTGTAGTACAGCGAAGTCCCTTGCCAGTCTTTGCAATAATGTTGGTTTTAGCTGAAGATGGATGAGTCATTATTGATCTTATAAATGTTGTTTCAGAAGTCAGTTTTCAAAGCGTTTAAAGGCTCGTACTGATCTCCAGTGGTTCTCCCATTTATGCAGAAAGAATGATGCTTTTGTGGAAGCATCACATTGGAGAGATTCAAGCCTACCTCAAGAATTTTCTTACCCACCAAGAGGTCCGTTTTCAGCAGCTGGGCATCTCCACACTCTGCAAACTACGAGCAGGTATGTCCTTCCTGCCAAGGCTGCCTGCATCCATCAGCAGCAAACAGGCACTGCTTAGTAACAGATCACAGAATCATTGGGGTTGGAAAAGACCTCCAAGATGAGTCCAAGCACTGACAGTGCAAACTTCTCTGGAGACAAGCTCTACTCACTTAAGAAAACTGAATAATCTCAAGAATAGCTGTTACATGTTTTTTAAGCAGCTCTTTAAGAGTATCTCCCAATAAAGGCAGAACGATTTTGTTTGTTTCCTTTAAAATTAAAGTTCAGAACAGCAGGGAAACAGGACTTCAGGAACAGATGCTTTTATCCTATGTAAGAATTTTCGGCACTAGATCCAACCTAAAAGTTTTGCAAATGTGATATTAGTTTATTTTGATAAAGCAAGTGATTAAGGAAATTGCATGATTAGCTGATATTAAAGCTGGGAAGTCTCACATCTTCATATTAAAAGTCCATGACTTAATATTATGCTGGGTTAAGTTAGTCTTCTTGTCTTTGCATAAATGTTGAGTACTTATGAGGGTTATAATGTGGTAATAACTGTATATAGCACATATCTTTACATATGTAGAGCCAGAGCCAAAACCCTGCTGTATCTAGACAGGCCACTGCTGCATAAGGCTGAATTTGGCAATTGAGATTTATACATCTGGATCTTGAGAATTTAGCAGCAATCTTGAATGGCTGTAGGGATGAAAACTGAATTTGTATCGGTTTTGTGTGATATTTTTCTGCCTTACCAGTAATGAGAACCACCAACCAACTGTACCTAACCTGAAAAATAAGTTTTCTATACATCTGCATTAGAACATAGGAAAAACCAGCAGGTTGCCTAACATCTGTTATTCCTCTTCAGATGCAGACTTTTCATTAGCATTCAGAAAAGGCCAAATGGCCAAACTCCTTGAGCAAGTTCGTCAACAAACAGAAGAAACTCAAGAGCTTCTTAGGGCAGCTATGTGCCACGAAGACAGTTAATATTTAAGCCAAATGGCTGATGAAAATTTACCAGATCCAAGGGCCTGAACTTTCAGAGGAAACAACTCTTTTCCTTGGTTCCTGTAATTTTCCTGCTACTTACAGTTTCGTCATACAAGAGAGATGTCCTGATAACAAGAACTGGAGCAGGTCAAAACACAATTCCTTGCACCCTTTTGCTGTCTGCTTAAGTGTGCTTGAGGACATGTTGAAAAACACCTGCTATGCTTGGTTAAGTTTCCATGGTTTGTTTTTGGTTTCCTCACCCCCCCTTCAGAGAAACCAGCACTGTATTAATGAGGTTTTATTCATGCAACAGGCTGATTCCACTGATGAGGCATCTCTTACGTATGCAGGTCTGCATTCATCTTTATTCTGTTTCTGTTCCATGTCCTGTATTTCAGAGCACACTCCAAGGACTTTAGAAAATAATTTAATCAACCCATACTGTAAGGTAGAAAACTACAAATAAGTTACTACAGAAAGTAACTGCTGAGGGACAATTCTCAAAGTGCAAGAAATTTGTAAGAAACAAGAATGGGTGAAGCCTTACAGCTGATCCTTGTCCACACTATAGCCACTACTCTCCAGCAGAAGAGCAAAGGTACATTAAGGCAAGGAAATGTTGCACAGAGCAAGTACAGAACACAGCAGGAACCATGAATTATTTGTGTGAGATATGTTTAAGTACAGAACTGTGTTCTGCAAATGTTAAAATTATTTCCAAAGCTACTTGCAACAAGGACTGAGTGAAAATATTTGGCAAAATTAGGAATTTTTGTTATATTTTGATATTGATACTTCATTTTAAACGGAGTTAAAGAACAATAAAAAGGTATTCATGTTTAAATTCAACTTATTTTCTTACATATATACTTCCCATGGGCAGGCAAATGTTCAGCCATCTCCAGGAAAACTGTGTTCCATCATATGTAATGGTTACTTGGGAAGAGACACACTGTAACTTCCCCCTTCAAACATCCCCCTTTTCCTCTTCCTTCCCCCAGCTTTATATGCCCAGTATGACAATGTGAGGTATGGAACATCTCTATGGTCAACTGGGGTCACCTGTCCCAGCTGTCCCCTCCCAACCTCTTATGCAACCCCAGGCAGGTGGGGTGGTGTGAGAGGCAGACTCTGTGCAAGTGCTGATGAGCAGTAACTAAAACATCCCTGTGTTACCAACCTTGTCTTCAGCACAAACCCAAACATGGCCCCCTCAGAGCTACTGTGAAGAAAATTAAGTCTACCCCAGCCAAAAGCAGCACACTGTCTTCTGAGGTGCTTTTGACCGTCTCATAACCCTTATGTGCACGTACACTTTAGAGCTGATACTGGTTACAAACATTGAATAAAAGTGAGATTTAAAAAATAGTTTAAAAATGTTATTCTGTCAGTCAAGAGCTCAATGTTCCATTTTAATGTGGCTTAAATCTCTGAGCCTAATTTTGGTGCTTGAGAGAGGCACTTTCAATAATGATTTCTTTTAATATCTGCAAGTGCTTTCCAATGGTACTGTTAGGGAAAAAACATAAGAAAACAATGCCCCTCCCCTAAAAAAAAACCAAAAAACAAGCCACAAAGCAAAAACAAACAAAAAAGTAAAATCAACCAAAACCACATTAAGTGCAGTAAAAAGACCTATGAAAGTGCAGGGTAGACAGAAAATTTGGATAAAGCAATATGGCATTTTCAATATTCATCTGTTTTCATCCGTGACAGGAATCCCATTTTGAAATCTCATGTGACAAACCATGTGCTCTGCTTTGGGCAGGTGGACTTTCTTAAATAGAGGACTGGCTGAATGACACACCTGGGAACAAAAAAACCTCAAACTGCAAAAACCACCTCCATGGGTGATTTTAGATCAGTTTCCAAAAAGAAGCAGTGCAATTTTAAACAATGATATTAGAATGTGCCCTGTATCTGTATTCTTAGGTATTTAATCTCAAACAGTATTTCAAGGTCTTAGCAAGAAAGCAAATAACAAAAGATTCTTCACCAGGAATGAGGAGATAAAAGACATGAAGCAAACAGAGCTAATGGTGAGCAATGCAGCAGTTGTGATGTACTGAAATAACTCACAGAGCATCATCCCTGTGAGCACTGATGTGCTGTGGAGACAGGAGCACAGAGCTGAGCCTTCTCAGAGCTGGGGAAGGCTGCTGCTCCCTCCCAACCCTCAGAACAGCTATCTGCACCTGCTACTTCTACCTCACAGAGTAGTTCCACCTTGCCCATGGTACAAACAACACAACCAGTTGCAAACAGCAGGCAGAGGAGCTGGGCTTCTTCCCATACCATATTTTATTGTCAGGAACAATACTCAACAGAAGAGAAACTGTTTTCCCTGCTTTAAAAGAGGCTTAACCAAAAGATTGAAAAATTCAGTATTAAATCCTTTTTAAAAATTTCATACACCTATTTCTACTCTCAATTCCCTTGGTTTTATTTTGTATGTCAGGCCCCTGAAACAGGAAATTCTTGCTCTCATTTGAAGCAAATCTGGAAAGACTAATGACAAACTGTTTTTAATCCAGTCCTGCTAAAAAAAAAAAAAAAAAAAGCAAAAACCAAAGTAAATGCGAAAAATAAAGCCAGCCCATTTTTCCACAAAGAGTAAAGCAAGTGTGCTGAAGTCTCACAAAAAACAGACTAGCATAATTTATAACCAATCCTAAATAGCTCAAGATCAACACAATTTAAACCTGATCCTAAATGAATCCTAAGACTTAAAACTGAAGCTAAATGTAACTGCCTCTTTTATTGCTCTCTTTCTTGTTGCAAGTGACTTCATACTGATTTTTAGTAAAGAAATTAGAGAAAACCTGAAGGAAAATTTTAAGCAGACCATAAGTAGCAAGAAGAGTTTTCCATCAGAGATTGACTCTTGCTTCAATTATGCAAGAAAATGAAAATGTAAGTAGAAATAAATATTTCAAACAAATTTTATTTGGTACTTACATGCTATATATAATTTTAAAGAAAAACTACATATTTTGGACACTTCAAAATATTGTGGCTATGTACATGGAAAACTAAAGAAAGCAAGAAAGGAACTCAATTCATTTTACCATGTCACAAGTTATTATTGAAAGCATTCTGACTGAATGGCTGTTTTTCCCTTCCATAAATACTCTGGCAGATGAAGTCTTTTTCATTTTAGTTCCATTGCTTTTATCCCATCTCCTCTATAAGATGAACACTTGGCAGCAGCAGAAATTTCTTCAAAAATTCTTCAGCTTTTGTCTCACAGGATTTCTTCTGCTAGCACAGACTTTCTGCACAGCTTCCTAGAGGCCTCGCTCACTGATCACTAAAGGCAAGTGCAGGAATCTTAATGGTAAATTCTCTGTTAGCAGGAGTTAAGAGCCCATGAACCTCCATTTCCCCTACCCAAGGATCTTCTCACTGATTCAGAGCAATGCCTCAAGCCTTTGGCGATGCTGCAAACTCAAACACCCAGAGCAAGCTCTGCCTCCAACAGCATTGTTTAGCAAAGCACAAAAACGTGCAATATTTTACAGTTCTGCACAACAGCAACCAAAAGTGTGGGATGGAAAAATGAATGACAGTAGAAATCAGCATCAAACTAAGGAGAAAGCAACCTGCATCGCTCCTCTTCTCACTCAAACTGCACTGCTTTATAAAAACCACACACTACATAAAAAAGCACAAACAATGACTATTTTCCATTTGCTCTGAAACGAGCAAACCCCAAAAATCCCTGAACCTGCATCATCATCCAAAACTCAAATATCCCAGGTTTCACACAGTCTTCAAAAGTCTGATAAGGCAAAGGAAAAGTCTTCCATCATTGGGAACAGCAGCAATTTACAGGACTCAGAACAAGGTATTTCCTTGTATGTGTGTGCACATGTGTGTGCACATATGCATACACATCTTTTATAGTATTGCGAATATGGATGCAACTAAAAAAATCAAGTTTGCAGTATCTTTTTTACCACATTTGTCTAATTTATTCAATCAAATTATTTATTTCTGTACTGAGCAAAACTCATAAATACATAATCTAGGAGAACAATAGGTTATCCTCTTGTCCATGAAAAAATAACGCTTTCAAATTTTCACAATTTAAAACCTTTCTTGTTTTGTGTTTTTAGAGAAAATGTGAGAAGATCATAGTGACATCTCAATTTACAGAATGTCCCTGTAGGAATTACATTTACAAGAACTTGATACAGAAGCCTATAGTTCGCCCCTATAATTAGAGTTCTCTGCAATAATATTTAAACCAACAGGTTTAAATAAAACACCTCATTAACTCTACTTGTAGAGCAATGAGGCATTTATTTTTCAAGTATTAGAACCATAAAGTGTAAAAGATTCTTTGCCAATTTTACAATTATGCCTTTTAAACCAACACCCACCTTTAGTAAGAACAAAAAAGAATCAGTCCCACCACCCAAATCAGCCCGTTACTTTCAGATTCCAGTGTCTTGTGTCTTAAGGAATGCAGAAATATTAATTTACTAACAAAAAAAGCTTGTTGGAAATAGCCATATTAAGTAACGCACGTGAAGCATGATTTTTCTAGTGATGAAAGCTATTAGAATGGTGATCCAAGTCTATTCCCCTCATTTCTTCTGCTGGTTTTACTAAAGTTCTTCCAAAAAAGACAGTCAAGAAATCTTTAAAAAATTGGAGAGAAAAAACAAAACACTCCTTCATAGCATGGAAGAAACTCCACTGACTGCAGAGATGCTCATGTCACCTTTGGTTCTTCAGAAGAAACAATCAGATCACTTCTAAAACAGAAGGCAAACATGACAGGTAGAGTGGCAATTCTTCAAAATGTTATGCACTTATACAATTATTTTAATGTGAGATGATTTTCCTTACATTTTTAGGCCAGAGAAAAATACAGTGCTATCCCATTTAATTTGCTAAATCAGTATTTGTTTACCTAGCATTCTTGAAAAGCTCTGATATAATTCAGAAAAATCCAGTGTCCTGAAAACCATCCCTCGATGCCTGTAAGAACTCGATGAAGAAAGCACATCCAGAATTCCAAAAATTAGTTTTTAAAAAGTAGTTACTCCCCTTCTGCATGTGCATGTCAAGCACTGCACTTGCAGTAATGGAACCCAATTGCTGATCATAAGGTCAGAACAGCAGCTGTCACCTATCACTTCTGCTTGAAAGCAGAGGGCAAACTTTTCCAAGCAACTTCAAATGGCAGAAAGTAAAACACATGTGAGAAGCCCTCATTCAGAAACTATAAGGTCTCACCACCATTGCACTGCATCTGTATGTGCCTGGCATGCATAGCTTTACAAAGATATGTTCTCCTTTCCCCAAGTAATTTAAATTTGTTTAAAATTTAAACAGAGTTTAAATTTAAAAAATAGAGTTTAGAAATGCTTAAATGAATCAGATTATATTAATTGAAAGCTCTCAGACCTCTGTCAATTACAACAAATTACAAGTGTTAGTAAACCACAGCAAACCTACCTGCTGTTTGATGTGTTTGAACATTATCTACCTGAGGCAAAAGAGTCCCCTTATCTTCAAAGGCTAGAATTGGATTCAAAGGAATTTCGGGACTGTTGCTTCCATCATTGTTCATAGCATCCAGCCGGGATGGTTTAGAACCAATAGGCAGGTTCATGATCTCTTCAAAGTTATCATTCTGCATAGACATTCCATTTTCATTTGCATTTTCCTCTGGATTGAGATTGCTGAAAGAGAAACATAGCAGTTTTTCCTTATGTACTTTTTCTAGAACAGAAATTTAGTCACCCTCTAAGCAATAGTACAAACAGAAGTAGAGAAGTCTGCATCAATCTCAAGCATTCTTTTAGACAATGAAAACAAAACTATGCTTCTACTACAATAGGAAAAACTGGTTTTGCAGCCAAGTACTTGGGTATTCCTTTCCTCAAACCCATGGGATAGTAGTTACCTTTGCCTACATGACAGCCAGAACTACAGAGTGGGCACTGCAGTCTGAGAAGAAACTGCAATAGGAATCAATAAGAAAACCTCTGCAGCACTACCAGCTGGTACCTGGAACCACCCACATAATGCAATTTACAGTCCCTAACATAGTTTTCAAATCTCAAACCCTTTATTGTACCCTTCTTCTTATTGCAAATCAATGTAATTGCTCTTGGATAGGATCACTGTTATTTTTATTATTTCTTGGATCACCTTCTGCCACTAGTTCTGGAGCAGCTTCTTTTATATGCCACCTATTCAGAGGAAAATCTCCCTCGTCAATATAGTACTCCTTTCAGTCCCTTCTCCCATATAAGATCTTAGGGGTCATTTCCAAGGCACTACCAGCTCCACACTTCTCCAGTTGATCACATCCAAGCCAAAAGAGCCCTCTCCCAGAACCCCTCCTGTCAATCTGTACTTTCATTTTCCATCTGCCATGTGACAGAGACACCTTAGGAGCGAGCTCTTGCACATCTCCCCCCATCCAGAGCAGCACAAGCACAGACACTCTGCGTTTACACGTGCTCTCCCCAGACAACACTTGCTCATGTCTCGCAGCCTTGGGCCTCCCCTCCCAACCCCCTTATTAGGAGCTGCATTATCAAATCCTTCTGACTCTGCACATGGTATGTCCTATCCTGCTAGAGAGGAGAAACTAAGGTGCTAGTTCAGGGAACAGGATGACAGTAATGGGACCATAAGCTCCTCAGGCAAGAGCAAGTACTCAAGAAATACTCAAAAATCTTGTCATCTTTCACAGGTTCTTCCTAAAGTTAGATTCTGGCAATCCTGGGTACCTATTTCCTGTTTGGACCACATCACACCTGTTCAGGTTGTTTGGAAATGTTTTGGCCACAAAGGCATAGATGCAATTTTCCTAGATTGAAACTTGGCTATCAATTTCCTCAGGCCATTTCTCAGCAGGCAGCTTGGTTTCACAGGCTTATTTTCTGAGAGCACATTTACTAATCTTAAAAACAAACCTGCTTCTAATTGGCATACTGTATATTTTCATTCGCTGGCTTCTTTGTACAACTTTGCACAAACAATTAATGAATTGTTTTGCAGTATTCCCCAAGAGACAAAACCCAATGACTGCTCTTTTGAAAGTGGCAATGCTTTATCCAAAGCCCAGATTTCCTGGGCTTGAGAATCACATGCCGGTGTTCATATCAAGCCTTCCCAGTTTTTCAAACCATCATCAGTTCTTTTTCAGAAAGGCATTCCCCTTTTTTTCATCTGTGGATATGCTTGGCAACTTTTGAAGTGAAAAATATGTTTCACTGCACTGAGTTTGAGAGCAGGCACAGAAACTGTTGGCTGCCTGGAAGAGCTCATAAGTCATATCACCCTTTTGTGCCAGAGACCCACATCTGTAAGATGAGGAGCAGAATCTGTGAAATGCTTTAGGACTATTAAAAGCTGCTCTGTCATGTATGGTCTTTGGGTAATTATTCTCTATAAGTGATCCTGTTATTTACTTTATCCCCATATACTGCCAACAGCCATACCAGAGCTAGGATGACATGCCAAGTTTGATGAATGGGGTAAGAAAGAGGTGGAAAGAGAGCAACTGCTCATTCATATAAATTAAATAGCACAGTATTTCAACAACTATTAGAGCAATGAAGAAGCCTATTGCTTCTGCAAACAGAATTTTTCTACCCAATTTATCAGCTTAGTGAATAAATAATTCTTCATATTTTATATATATGTTTCATGGCACTGCCAGTATTATATATGGAGTTAGAACAAGATTCATTCCGACTCGAACAATGCCTTTTGAGACAGAGGAGTCTACAATCACAAAGGGGGTACAGAAAAGGAAATCAGGGCTATAAATATTCTAAATTTTGTGGTATAAATCTTCTAGATTATATCTTACTTGATTCACCTAAGGACTGGAGGAGAAAATTTAGACTAAAGAAAGGGGAAAATAGAACAGTGGAATTAATTTCCAGTGGACATCTTAGAGGCCACAAGCTCAAAAGGAGATTAGATAAATTCCTGGGAGATTGGTATGCCCTTCAGCTTCTGGTAATTAGCAGCTCAGGGACTACTTGAGCCTATGGTTGCATTTGGACCACAATGCTTAGCAACACTTCATTGGCCAGAGGATCTCTTGGTAATTACCTTTTTTTTTTTTTTTTTTTCCCTTTACATTGTGCTACAGGCCATTAAAACAAATAACACAAAAAATAGAAAAGGGGTTTTGACCTGCTACAGCTGTTCTTACTGTCTTATGTTACATTCTTATGTTGTCTAGGTGTCTAATACAACACCAGAGATATCCTTTCCAGGCATACAATAATGCAGAAAGAACTGGATAATTATGACATTCTAATATATTCCATAAGTGTGCATGTAGCAAGACACTTATGTAATAGAGGAAAAAAAAGTTGCCTAAGTTGTTGAGAATGCATTTCCAAACATAACAGTCTTGCAAGTATCTGAAGGACATCTCCATGGCAGCTGAAAAGTATCTCTGCAGCTTCACATTTTGACCTGGACACATCAATATTAACAAGATAGACTGGAGGATGTTGAGAAAAGAGGAGCCAGCTTAATTAAAGGAACTGGAATATCCAAAAAACTTAAAATTACTGAAAATTATATCTGTTGTAGATAATTTTAACCAAAACTCTATGTAGACACAGCCTGAAATTAGAATTTGAAGAGACTAAAACATAAAGAAGGCCAGAATTCAGTATATCTGCTTCTGATCATTCATCAGAAATAAACACTGAATAGGAAAAAATAAAATACAGATTTTCAGGCCTTTGAAAAATGCCAACATATTTGCATAGCTGCTATTTCTGATCTGAAGGACAATGTCAGTCACCTCATTTATTTAGAGGATTTTTGCAGAGGAGACATAGATCAATATTAACAGCAAAATGTATCCCAGACTTCTGGATATTCAAATAAATGGTGCTTATTTTTAATCCACTGAGACAACAGCACTGAAACCAGCCAGCAATGAGAAGCATTCTTTTCCAGGACAAGATATGAAGGCAATCACTCAGACCAACCATATATTTCTAAAAACTAATTACCTAACCTACCCAGACCCAGCTCCATGCACCCAGGATGGAGACACGTGAGATGAACTGCATTCACTGAGGTGTTTTGCACTGCATTGCAAATGTTCGTAGAAAACAGCATAGAAAAGAGGAATTACAAAGTATCCTAAGGAAAGTACTGTCAATATAAACCACTGTATTGAAATAACTTTTTCTAAGAAGTAGCAGGCATGATCTATCTTGGGCAAAAAATTAGGGAATGGAGTACAAGCAGAAATCTGTAAGAGGGCTATGGATTAGGCTGCTGTAGTGTTCTGCATCACTCTGTCCTCTGACTCACACAAGCACATGACATAAGCTTCCCTTTTTAACTTCTGGTCAGAAATATCTGCACTCTTGCCCTTAAAACATGAAGAACTCTTTTTCAGACAAAAGACAAATCTTGCTGAGGGCAGGAGTGAGGTGTTCACTCAGGAGACAACCTGCACCCACTGCCTCATGTGTGCTACCATGTCAGGTGTATCTGGATGCCAGACAACCAGAGCACACAAGATGCAGTAGCAGTGGTGTTGGCACCTGTGGCTTTTACCATGTGACAAAAAAATCTGTGGGATACTACCAAGTGATTCAGGCTTCACCTTCCCAGTCACTGTGGATGTACCTCTGAGGCAGAAACATTCCAACCTGGCATGCCACTTTTCCCTTCCGCAACCTCACATGTGCTTCCTACTTTTGTCAGTGTTCTTCAATTTCATTTATTCATTCTTCACTGTGGTCATTCTGAGGTTCCTTCCACGCAGATTATAATGGTAGAGGACAGCACTCATTAGTGTGGCACATTTTATATTTCAAACATCAAGGTGCTTGTAAGGCTGGGAGTGATTAACATTTTAATAGCTGCCCAAGACAATTATGAGGCAGCTCTGTGCAGCTCATCCAATGCACCTCAGTGTCGCTGACAGAATGTCCCTCAGCAGGAGCATCCTTGTCAGCATGACAGCAGGCTAAGATCCCCCAGGCATACGGAGGGATCGAGAAAGGGCAAATTCCTCTTTCAATTAGTGCCAATCACACCCTGAAGCATACTGTCCATTACAGACTGCACAATGGCTTCCCACATTCAAGTTCTTCCATGCATATTCTGGCACTACCTGCATAAAACATGAAAGGACTGCGAGATTATCTGGCTTTCTGCATCACTAAAATTAAAATAACTGACAGCTCATGCTTATGTAACAGATGCTACTCAGTTCAATACTGAGGTTTCAAGCTTTTCAACAATTTCTCCAAGTCTGAATGGCTACATGGCTACAGAGAGTTCCCAATGTATATCATCTGCCTCCTCAAATACTGCTTATGAGGAACAAAGGTGTTTTTTTTTAATGCATAACCAAAGTGACTAATCCCATATCTCACACAAAGGACATATCTACAACACCACTTCAAGCACTTTAGAAATCAAAACATCTTGACTGAAAACACAGTATTCATTATTTGAATTAAGAAAATAAGCAGTGCAAGCCCACAGTGGGTTTTATGAGGCTTAATTCAGGGAAAGAAACAGAAAAAAATTCCCTTTCCATTAAGCTTCAATAAATGCAATAATTGCTGCCAAACACATTGTTCCAAACACTGCAAAGAACATGCTCTACTCTGTTAAAAATTTTTCCCTTCCATTTAGCAAAAATTAGTTACTGCTAGTTGAAATATGATCGAGTTCTTTCCTTAAGAGAGGAAAAGATAAAAACCAGGAAACACGGCGGATTGAACAGTTGTGTCTTATTTAGCTAACGAACTCGTGGATCCGAATATAATTTTTTCCTCGAGCAGCTCTCCTCCTCCAAGCACGGCTCCCTGCCTCCTGGCGATGTTTTACCTGTCCACATTTGCGGGGGGCTGGTGCGGAACGCCCCCGTGCACGCAGGCGGCCGGCGTCCCATTGTGCGGAGGTGGCACCGCGTGCTGCAGCTGGGGCCCTGCTGCCGGCTCCGATGGACACGCAGGGCTGCCTGCGACTGGGCAGAGAAAACAGGCTTTCATAAACCAACCAGCAGCACCTACCCTGTAGATTAGGGTAAAATCTTCTACAAAAGCCAGCACAGCCAAGGCGAGTTGCAGTTTTAAAAAATATACAGTTCCCACACCCCTCCCCACCACTCCACCCAACCCCATCACCTTTGTCAGCTTTTTGGGCATGCAAACCCTGTTTCAGGTCCAAAGTAAATGTCAGTCAGATTTCAAGGCCATAGCTTTGTGAACAAGAATAAGGATTTTACAATCATATGCACAATTTCAACATATAAACTAGTGGGCAAAAGAAGCTGATATCTGATAAAATGTTATGTTGGCACTTTTCAAGTAGAGAATGGAATAGAGCAAAACTTGGATAGTACTAATTCCATACAGTGGTATTTCTTGATACCAGTGACTATAAAGGAAATCAAGAAAAAAAATACCTCCATTGGGAAGGACATTTCTTTCAATAAGTACCAAGTCACTACTATAAAACATTGCAGAGAACAACATAAAATGAGATTATCCCTGTCCCTAATGCCGAGACCACATAATACATGTTTCTAGCCTGCCTTGTGGTTTTCTTTTAAAGCACAACTACAGCCTTCTGCATTTTATCTAGGGTCTCTCTATTCATGTTCAGGTCAGTAAGAGGAAGCAGCTGCACCCACCCTGCTAACATCTACCACGGTAATTGCAAGGACAATTCAGTATTCATAGTCTTGGATACATGTATCTACATTACCCAAAACCTCATCTGGTAAGCCCTTCCTTCAGCTGCTCTATTTCACTGTACTCCAAATATTTGGGCTGAAGACTTTTATACTGAATGTCTTATTCTGACCTTTGGCCAGTTTTTATATGGAAGATACTAGAAATAGAAGTTTATGTGCTTCTACAAATGGAATAACAGGAAAATATATTTGCTTTAATGTTTAGAAGGAAAAAGCAGAAGAAAAAGTTGTTCTGTTTTGGAAATGTGGGACAATCTCATATTTTTGAAGTGGTGGCCAAACAAATGACAAAACAGTGATGGATTTTTTTCATTGTGTGATTTGGCCATTCCCATAAATGTCTCCTCAGGTTTTGGCAAACAGTAAGACTTAGGAAAATATTTTAAAAACAAACTGTTTGTGTAGAGTCAGAGGTCTGTTAAAGTGCAATATAGAAATTCATGTGGCTGGAATATACCTTTAACTCGATGCCACATACACATAATGCAAAATCAAACAGCAGAGCACCCCTGAGGCCTCTGAAAACTGAGGGCAGTTTTCTCTTTATTCAGTCATTCAAGGATCCTGGCCTTCCCTTGGGCCTAGGGAAATGAAGATCCAAAGCCTTCTTTGCCTTAGGAAACTGATAGAAGACAATTTTTTGTCTATCTCTAGAGGGAAAGCACTAGCCAAATGTTGTGGAACCCTTTATAGTTTCAGGAATTCTTTAAATGGTTTATAACACCTTCAACAGTTCCCAAAGACAAAGATGGCATTCCAGATGAGTCCTGTATTAGTAGCTCCCAAACCTTTTCCCCCCAAGATAATATGTAAACAAATATGAAACCCAGGTAATGAAATCTACATCACAAGGCTTCCTGACAGTACTAATTATACTGTTCACTTTAAAAATCAGGAAAAAAAGTCATCCATCAGTAAGTGCTGCTGTCTTCCCTATTACTCAACCCAAATACAAAGTAGAAAAAGATTAATGTCATTTAATGTGTTATGCTACAATAGGATAAACCACTTGATAGCTTGACTTCAGTATCTTTAAACAGTGCTAATTCACACCTGGTGATTGTTGAATATAAGCTACATGTCTTTTTTTCCTTTATTGTAAGTATATAATAAAAGAAGAAAAAACATATATATATTCTTATATAGTAGATTACCTAAAAAGAAATACAGGGAAATGAAGTAGAAGGAAAGCATAAGAGTGTGGGTGTGACAAGACTAAGCTTTCGTAGTAAAAAAATTTGTCAAAAAATTAAATACAGATCAAGTGAGTAAGGCAGCAGGTATGGAAGAAAGAAGTGACAGGGAGATGTTCAGATGTTCAGAACAATGAATGCTTTGTTTTAATGAATAACAGGAAATAATCTTTTAAGAAAATAGAGAAAATTTGCAACAACCACATCTGAAATAATATAAGAAAAAAATGTAGAATCAGTTTATTTTGTGATCTGAATCACAAAATAACTTCCTTTCACTTTATAAATAAACTTGTTAAGAAAATTCCTTTTGCTAAATACCAATGAGACCAAGTTGCTAAAACACTGAACTCCTTCAGTAATGGCTAACCACCTATACAGAAAGGATAAATAATTAATGTATGCTAAGATTGAATTTATATTCCTCTCATAGTTTTTATTACTGCAGTTAGTGTGCCAAGTTTCAGAACTGTTTCTCAAATCATTGTGCTCAGTAGGCATTTATTCACCTGTTGTGCTCAGGGCACAGTTAAACACAATACCTGCTTCTCCAGTAATATTTGCCTTTGATATATGTCCATTTTGCTGGTCACTGGATTTCTACAAAGGAAGCACAGTTTTGTAAATTAAGAATGGCACTAGGGAAAAAAACAGAAACGTGTTCAATATTTACAAATGTTAAGTAGCAGCACTGACCTTATCTACAGCTTCTACACGCCTAGTTCTCTTCATGATCTCCTCAAGCCTCTGCAATGAAATGTAAATGAGTGAAATAATGTGTGCTGGCATTAATTTGAATATCTTTCTCCCAAATCACAACTGCTTGTCATTTATCAGCTGTATCTGTTTATTGCAAAAAAAAATAATTATTTATTACTGTTGCCAATATTCCCTTCACTGTCACATCAGGCCAATGAGGACTGCAGCCTTTCTGAGAGCACATTTATATAATTTACTTCCTACTGTTCAGGTGGAAACAGAGTGCTAAGGCAAAACCAGTCACAGTTTCTCTGCACGGACAGAGTTACCTTCTTCCTTTCCAAGCGCTCTTGCTCTTCTCTTTGGAAATGCTTTTCACGTTCTAATCGAATCCTCTCGGCCTCTTCCCGCAGGCGAGCTTCCTCTTCTTTCTATGTTGGTGGTAAGAGAAAGAGAAGTGAGGAATAATTTACTATTTAAGGGCAGTTTTATACTCTGTGTATAATTATGCGTATCTACAACTCCCTGAAAAGACATTTTTGGGGTTTACAAGTCACCAAAAATCTTTTCAGATGGAATTGTACATTTCTTCATTAATCTCTACGTTTTGTGTAGCATTAAGAGAGAATAACTAAACAATGGACATCATGTTTGGTTCTGTGCCTGCTCCAGAACACACCAGATGACAAATAAGGAATAAATTTCTAGCCTTCAGCATTAAAACAGCAGCCAGGAAAGTATAGGGAGACCCATGTTTTGTGTGGTGGATATTTTTGAGAGTAAAACAAATGCAGCAGAATGTTTTGTTTGGCCAACAGAGTATCTGTTTAAAGAGACCAAGGGCAAACAGCCAGAGCCCCATTTGCAGAAACTTTCCATTCTTGCCTTTTTTAATAAAATGCAAAATTTGCCTGGAATATACTGTAGAGGGGCCTTGCTCCCTGTGACACTGTTACATGATGGAACTACTACAGCAGATCCTTTTTTGTATCTCTAACATCCAAAAAAGCTTTGGCCATGTGCTATCTCTGAGTGCTAAATTGATTTAAGCCTCAGTTTAACATTTCAAAGAAAGTAGCACACATCTTTTGAAAAAGAACAGTGGAGTTTCTCAGCCATATTCACTAACACAGTTCTTTAAAAATTTATTATCAGAAACATACATTTATATGCCAGAAGAAAACCTCATGTCTACAAGGCAAATTGAAGTATTGGATTGCGGAAGAATAAAGCACATGCAAGAAGTAAGAGGACATGTGAGAAGACTTCTATCCAGAATGCTTACCACAGCCTCTTCTGAAGTCAGTAAACCAACATTATACCCATCAAAAATGAAAGCACTTGAAAAACTTAATTTTCATTTCTAATCTTACATCTTTTGACTAGCTACTCTGATTTCAGGAATACTGGGCCAGATAAAGGTTCTCCTTGGTTTGATTAAACCTACCCCTTCCCACCAGCCCCACACAAAAGCAGTATTTGACACAGGATTCAGCAGTACTGTATCTCCAACAAAGTGAGTAGTAATCTTTACATATGGACTGCTATAAGTCTTGGGACAAAAAATTCTCTGGTATAATAGCATTTATCAAAACTCCCCAATACAACTATATTGATATTTTTTGCCACAATCTATGAGGAATAAGAAAGGATTTGTTCTAAATACACTGTAAAGGGAGAGAGGGGAAAAAAACCCCAAAACTCAACTTCCCTACCAAATGTTTTTGTCGAGTAGAAAGATCTCTACTCTTTGAACTCCTCTATGGAATGAATGTTGTCCCAACACTTTTCAGATAACATTTAAATTGTAGATATTGCTCTAATTTAGGTGCTATGTAAGAAGTGCTGCTTTACCCACTTCACTGCCAACTAGACTGGCCCACAAATTCCAAGAGGGAAGCATACTTGTTTCTGAATGCGCTCCATCTCTTCTTTCTCCTTCTGCTCTCTCTCTTCTGCCTGGCGGCGCAGCCGTTCTTCCTTTTCCCGCTCCTCTGCATCCTTCCTTTGTTTTTCTGCTTCTTGTCTGCGAGCTTCCTCCTCTTCTCGGCGAGCTCTTTCTTCAGCTATCCTCTGTGACAGCTCTTCTTTCTTTTGTCTGCAATCATTAAATAAGCATAGGAAAACAAGTAATAAAAGTAGGCAGAGAAGCCAAACCACCAGGTTCCTGATCCAGCACTGCTATCCCAATTTGATAAAGGGTGCACTGCTGTCCTATGCCTAAGCTGTCTGTTCTGCTTCCCCATAGGGGCCAAAAAGGAAGCCCTGTGCAATATAAAAAACTTTACAATGGAACACCAATACTTTTCCAGCATCTCTCTGCCCAATCCATGACACATACTTTCTGAGTCGGAAATAGTATCTTGGATTAATAAATTTTGCAAAGCACTCCTTTCTGCTATAATCATATTTTGAAACAGTATGCATTTTTGGTACCCATCCCACCTCATGGCAATGATTCCTTGATGAAAAAAAAGTATCCAAGTCTGCTGATTTAATTTTGATGTTTCCCAAATTATTTAGGACTTTTTAGTGTGTCTTCTCAGCTGAAGAATCCTCACCTGTTTAGTAAATTTTCGTATGGGAACTGTTTTGTGCTTATGATCTTCCCTAATGTCTGTCCGTACTTATTTTTTTAGTTTTACTAATTTTACTATGTTAAAAAAAAATAAAATACAACATTCAAAATGTAGGTTTATCTTGGGTATTTCAGAATGACATTTTCATGTTGTTCTTATTTTCTATTAACTTGTAACAATTCATTTAGTTTGTCAACCATGAATCATGTGATACTTTCATATATTCAACTCCAAACAAGATCTCTTCCCTCAGAAATAATTCACCCAGAGACCAACAAGTTAAGATTATACACATTCCTTTATGCTTATCAGTACAGAAATTCGGCTTCCATTCTGTAGCCCAGCAACATAAGATTTGTCTCAACTGTTCACAACTGACTTATCTCACTGGAGACCAACATCATCTCACTGGCCTCAACTCCTTTCAAGTACTTTTATGATGGCACTGCAAAGACACTGGAAACTCCTTTCACTGTGAAAGCTGATTTTCTTTGCTTTTTATTTTTGATCTTTCTGACTTAGTATTTATTCACCGTATTACTCTTATGCCACAGCAGCTTTTTTTCTTCAGAACTCTTTTTGAGCGAGTCAGTGTTGTGAGCCTTTTGGAAAGCCAGGCTATTTTAACTAGTTCTGCCTTGTTCCTATCAGCAAAGTGGTTAAAGAAATGCAACAAATTCCAGAGGCATGGCAGCCCTCTAAGAAAACACAATCTGTGCTGTAGCCAGAGTCATGAGTATCCAGATGAGCTACTCATTTGCTATTAGAAAGTGAGATGTAACATTAATTACCCTCCAAAACTTTTGGGAGGTGTTGGGGGTGGCTTTATTTTAAACAAGAAAACAAAGATGTCTAAGTCACAACAGGTGGACACCTAAAGCACCACCCACAATAGAAATCTTACAACTCAAAGAGAGTTTGTGCTGATCAGAAAGTTGAAAACAGCCATACAGAGTTCTCTAGCTGGAACAAAAAGGTGCAGCTTAGTTAATCTCTGAGGAAAAAATGAATCACAGCTGCAAGGATCTGCTCTCCTCTCCTGTCCTATTTTAAAGCACTACTTAGAATAAGTTTAACCTTACAGATATGCTTAGGTATATATTCCACCAACTGAAAAACCCAACAGGAAAATAAGATTTTGGGAGGAACTTGTGCCTCCCGCACTTCAGCGCTGTGCTTCATACATAACAAAGTAACAGCAGAATATGCAGAACAAGCTGCTAAAAACCTATCTTCTCTACTATAGAGGCCTAGAATTACCTTTCAAGCTCTTCTCTCTCCCTCCTTTCCTGCTCCTCCCGTTCCCGCTGCTCACGGGCGAGGCGCCTCTTTTCAGTCAGCAGCCTTGTTGCTTCCTCAGGGTCAGTCGTACCTGCAGAAGGCTTGGGCAGTGCTGCAGCTGGAGAAGGAGTTGGGAGAGCAGGAGGTAGGGATGGGCTGGCTGCTGAAACAAATGGGAAAGAAAATTAGTTTGTACAGACACAGTAGCCAAGATGTCACTCTCTTGAGAGGAACAGAAAATACTTCTAAGGGCACTGCAAAGTGTTTTCAAACTTACGTGATTTTTTTTAAATGATTCAGAGGAGGACTAGAGGTTCACAATCCTTCAGGGAAGTTTGGTTTTGCAGGGCATCTGAAAGCTCCTGCAGCTGAAGGTGTAAGTCAAGTTTTCTGTCAGGATAAATGCTGACAGGTGCTTAACAGGAGTTATGCTGACTCAGCAAGTCCCTACCATCACATTACTTAAGCTTGCCCAATTCTGTTTGAGGAGCAGAAATAAAACATTGTGAAATTATATTTTCTTCTGTCTGATCATCCACATCTGAAGATCAGAGCCAGAATTTTTGGTGACAGTCACTTTTGGTGACTCGGTGATCTCAAACATCAACTGTCTGATGTGATCTGCACCCATGGTAGGACACCAGCTATCATCAATTTTACAGCTGCTCCAACCTGAGGGAACTCATGAGACACAGCTTTTTAAATATTGCCACTATTGGTGAACTGTGGCTTGTTTTCAAATCTCAGTAGTGCCTTCATATAAATTCTTTTTCAGGGCCAGGTTTGTCCATGTGGCAGAGAATATGTTACAGGTTCTTTTGTATTTCTGTAAGTTTGCCTGGCATTCTCTAGCACAGGTACCATGTGACTCATCACCTTTTCTCTAGACACCAGGGACCATTACCAACACATAAGCTAATGTTAGGAAGCATTCCTAGATTAATCCCATCTGGTAATGCAGGCAAATATGGAGAGGGAAGACTTTGAACTGTCAACAAAATCAGATTCTGACCCAGTAATATATATGTAAAATAAGTCTTAAGGAACAGCCAGCAGATGATTATAAATCTGCAATTCTAACCACGCACTAGGATGTGACAATTTTCCTAACCTCACTAACAACTCATAAAGAAGAGTCTCCTCCCCAGTTCCCCCCTTCCTACACATAATCATGTAAACAAACATAAATTCATTTGTTTTCACTGCTGAATTCTCATCTGCTGACCTCTCTGCTCTCCTCTTCTATCAGCTAAAAACTACAGAGGTCTTTCTATAACTGCTTCAGGGCTTTGACCATGAATTCAAATGATACTTCTACACCAGTAATTTAAAGAGTGCCAGTGCCTGTTCTCTAGCCTTGAGGTGAGCTGGCACAGTTTAGCCCTACGGCAATGGAGCACTATTCTCTCACATTACCAAAACAGGTATTCAGCCCAACCCCAAGGGAACCGTGCAGAGCTGGGCTAACCTCCAGGATGTAGCTGGGAACTCAGAAAATTCTGGGATGTTGAAATATAAAAAGGTAAGCAATTTGATCACTCTGAATCTTGGGAGCCATTTAGAGCCATGTTCTTAGTAGCCTTGGGGACAGAAGGTAAGAAAAGGAGAGGCTGCAATTACAGCCTGGATCAGAAACATTCCAGAAAGCCTTTGTAATTGTAAACAGTATAAATGACAGAGTTCCTGTACCTCAGCCCTTTTTAATTTACTAACATGGGCCAAGGCAGGGCTGTTGCACTGAAGGGAGCACAGCTTTGTGCTGCTTGGGGCTCGCATCTTGCCTCAGGCGCTGAAGGTGGCAGCATAACAAGTAGCTTAATGCACACCTGCCCTGCTGTCAGAACAGATAACTCCCAAAAGACCTTTAAAGCTTCATTGGCATTAGTAAAGTTGTGTACGAGATTTGCCTTCATCAGCAATTGCTACCCGCTGACCTCCCGGCTCCTGTGAACACAGAGCCAGCAGGCAGCTGAGCCAGGCCAGCGAAAGGCCAGTGCTGTTACCTGTAGGGAATGAGCTGTATACACCTGCAACACAGTCCCAGGAGAATCAGCAGCATTCCTCTAGCGCCAAATGCTGTACTTACATCTCTCGAGAGTCTTGAATTCAAGCAGCGACTAAGTTTTGGCAGCTGAGGCCTCCATCGGCAGTACAAAGCCATCCTATAACCTCACATGTAAAATGCTTTGCCTGAGGTCTCCATCTTTGGTCCCAACCACCATCTCCTCTGGCTTTGGGAAAACACATTCAATTTGAAGGGCTTCTCACTGCTTTGACTATAGTACCCTTTTCTTTCATTTGTCTCCACTTCATATTCTTGTTTGTATCCTTTGATGTGAGTACAAACTGCTTGACTTTTGAATGCCTTTATCAGACATAACCAGTTTCAATACTGAGACCTTGTCACAAACTCAAATATGGACAGAAGCTGCAAAGAAGTGGAGTCTCTTTTCCTCTGAACTAAACAGTCAAATAATCATGCTGGCTTCTCTGATCTGCACCTTGTGCTGGAGAGCTACAACTTCTAAACACTTGCGAAGTTATCTCAGTGTTATTTCTGAAATGGGTTTAAAAGGAAGTTTTCTCCCCAAAAGGAAGCAGGCAGAAGAAAGAAATTAAATCTCCTTTGCATGCCCTTGGCAAACAGATACATCCACCCACCCTTTTTGTGGGGTTGCACCTGGGTATCAGACAGGAACTACTGTAACAGGATGTAATAAAACAGAATAAATCAATCCACGTGGGGATTTTTTTCCACAGAACAAGCCCAAACTATTCCTGCTGCAGATGAATGCAAGATTACTAATACTTAAAAATGTTCTATGAAAGATAACTACAGGGAAGTCTATGAATTTTAAGTTCAGAATCTTGTGTATCCCAGTGGTCACACTGGACTATCTCATCTTCAAGAGACAGTTTATGCAATATTTAGAATGAACTAAATTGTCTGCTAGAAGAAACCTATATTTTTCATTTTCAGATTCACTTTTTGTCCTTTCTACACTTTACAGTCTTTCATTTTTTTGTGTGTGGACATCCTTTTCTGCATTGCTGCTTTTCAAGGTTGGTAGGGTTTGGTGTGGGTTTCTTGTTCATTAGTTAACCATTTTTAATAACTCATTTTCCCTTAAAAATTCTCCCTATACCTTTTTACTCTTCTCCTTGGTTCTTTGCATTCCACTATATTCTGCTAATCTCTCCTGTGATATGGTCCTCTTGCAATATTATACATAAGCCAGCAGTGCTACCAGCACAAGTGCACCGTGTCTAGCAGAGCTGGACATTCTCACTGCTCACACACATTATGTGGTCGTTTCCTGTGAAGTCTTCAGACCATTATTATTCTACTTCAATAGTTTGTAAAGAAGCTATGTTATGATATGGGGGGCAAAATTCCTGTCCAAAAGGGCATAGAAGAGGCTTGTGAAGCCACACTGTCTGAGGCAGCTTGGCATGTTGATTTGACTTAGAAGCAGGAGGGCTTCAATCTGCCTAAATTTCCTCATGATGAACATACGTTGGCAGGAGTGTTGTGAAGAATTCAGACTAACCTTTGACAGAAAAATACTGAAAGCAACATAATTTCAGAGAAAGGGAAGGAAAAATATAAAATATTCCTTAACCTAAAGTAGGATGTCTCCTTACCTTGAGTTAGCTCTGCTTGGACAGGGAGCTGCTCCTGACTTGCAGGTTCTCCAGCACCTGCTGAAGTTCCTTTACTCTCTTCTGTCCTCACCTCTTTGGCCTTTTCAGCCTCCTTTTCTGGTCTTTTCTTCTCACCTTCTGGTTTGATCTCTTTTTTGACTGGCCGGATATTGCCAGGAGAGGGAGGACGTGTCTGAGCAGAGGAAACTTTGGAGGAACCAGGTGGGGAAGTGATCTGCTTGGGTGTGCCAGGCAAAAAAGGCAAAGACTTTGACGCATGCCTGTGTAATGAAAGAGTGACAGTGCTGGTTTCGACTTATATATCACTTCTACAACCACAGCAGCTAAAAATAAAACCACTTCTCTGTTTCTCTATAAAGCAGGACTGCTGGCACAACTGATATGGTTTCATGCAAAATGTCTCTCTCCAACTCTCCAGATGTGTGAGTACTACACCCAACAAGGAAGGAAGAAACCAAGTATTTTCCTGCCCCTTTCCCAGAAGAGTGGCAAGATTTCTTTAAAAGCAGGACTGTCTTTCCTTTTCTTGTTTTTGCAGACAGAAAACATCTGCATCATCAAATACGTTTGCCCTGTGCCACATTTGATTAATAAAACAATCAGAGCTGCCTATAGTTCATGTCCAGCTAAGCATGTACTTGACTTACCAGACTGGAGAGGGAGCTGATGATCTAGCTTTGAGGCTGGAAGTAAAATGACCTCCTTTAAAGTTGGCTGAGAAGCTGGATGACAAATGGTCCTTTTCTCTTCTGTCAGCCTATAGCTCAGCAAACAAAAATACAAAGTCAAGCCAGAGTTCACACAGCTAAAGAAAGCAAAGCAAACTTAGTTAAGGATGAGGAATTGGGGGGCTGAGAAAAAGCAGTGCTGAGTCAGTGGTTTCTACAGCTTGTTTAACAAGTTCCTTAATACAGCTCCGGTAACTTGACACCATCTTTGTCAGTAGATGTGCATTTCACAACAAGAATCCTTCTAAATCATTCTCTCCTGTCCTAAGATGTAATGAGCTAATTTGCACAGGCAAAAAAATTACCTTTTATAGTTTGATCTTTGCTGACTGCCACAGAGTACCTTCCACTGCTTCCCATAAACACAGGATTTCTTCTGAAGAAAACACAAAGCAAACTCCCCCTCCCCTTGTCTCATACTTGGTCATAGTCTTTCTATATAGCACAATATTTTGGATTCATGCATACAAGTGAACACCACAGATGTCCTCAAAGCTTCCAAATATGGTACACCAGCTATCCTAGTCTTTCTTTTCTTGGATGATTTTACAACACATACATTTTGCTATTGATTCTTATATGTGATAGTGATTTCCTTTTTCCTTCTCTATTTTTAAAAAATAAAATCCTAAGTTGAGAAACATTTCTAATAACACAAACCAGAGCTAAAACAGAACTCCTGCTTTAGGGGAATAGATCAGAATTTAGGTATCTATATACTTCCTGTATTTAAGTATAGATGAAAAACTTCATGGTTTTGGAATAATGAGCTCAGACCCCAGGAATCTGAAGAATAGGAATACTGAAAAGTACACTGAACTGCCAACTCAGCCAGCATAAGGCAGAGGCTGCTGCTCACCACCTTAGCTGGGGCTTAAACACAACCCCTCTAGCACGTGTGTCATGAAGCTTGAGAGCCTCACCAGATGAAAGCTGTGCAATGCTTGTCCCCTGAACTGAAAGCCAGGTTAACAACTGGAAAAGATAGACTGAAAACAACTTCAAGAGCACATGATGTGCTGAGTTATCAAAGTAAACACAACCAGAATAAATGCACTACAATGAACAAGAGTTTTGGCTTGCTAACAGTAACTCTCTATTGTATCTGCTTTATTAGTGCTGAAAGCAGAGCATTAGAAAAATCTTCTTCATATCAATAAAGTAAAAATATCAATTCATACAGCAGTTTTCAGAAACATAAAAGATTCTCCACATGATACAGGCAAACCTCTTGCAATTTTCCTGAAGAGGAAGAACCAACAGGCTGGGAGACCGCCATGCTCTTCTATGCACATGCCAGGGAAACACACATACTAAGGCTGTGCCTTAGCTTAAACTTCACTATACTACCCTCTGCCTGAAAGATTAAGTAATGGTTATCACTCATGACATTTTGATTAATACTGCTTCCAACAAAGATGTCAATAGCAGCACTGCCTCTTGACCTTCTGCCCATCAGACCAAATGAAAATGCAAGCACCTTTTACACAAAGTTTTGCAGAGATTACTTCAACTCTTCTCACACTCTAAACTAATTCAGGTTGTAGAGTACAATAAAAATGTAACTGCTTGGGTTCAGCAAATGAATCTGAACTGGGTCTGACTGCATCACATTGGCTTGGAGCACAGTCAACATGAGTTTGTTCTGCTGTGTCAACTTTACTAAAAGCTCAGGGAAGCCCTAGTGCTGCTACTAAATCATTCAGAACGAACAGTGACCTGTGGAAAGCCTTGCTTATAAACCATGCTCCTAAACCGACGTCTTCCTTCCCATTGAGGAAAAGTTTACCAGCCTGGTCTCCTAACAAAGTACAGGTGAAATGAGAGTACTCTGTGCCCTTGTATACAGAGACATGTGAGTGTATGCATTCCCCCCCCTCTTTCTTCTAGGGCCTCAGCTGAATTTGCTAGAGGGTTCAAAAGACATCAAATTCTGGAACCTTTGTGAAAACAGCCTGCTGGGAAAAACAAGTTCCCCACAGAGGGAAAAATGGCAACACCATCTTGGGTCTTAAAAGGCAGCAAAGAATCCACTTGAGAATGGGGCACTGAGAGTTCCTCTGTGCCTTGTGAGAAGCTAAGGCATCTACTCTGCAAACACACGTGTTTGGAAAACGTCAGTGTTTTTCCACATGGACTCTTTGGTGCATATCCAGGCTGTGCCAGCACATAACGTAGCACGTTTCAGTTAAAATCCAGGCAGCTATGACACAAACTGGAGAGGTGAGGACGGCGCAGAGGGGAGGAGGTATCCCTGCAGCTATTCCAGTGCTAACAGGCAGTGCAGTCAGGTGGCCGTGACATGGGACATTACAGACACGTGCCAAGCTTACCCCTGCAAGGTGCGTTGTTCTCCGACGTCCAACGGCATCAGTGGAAGCATAAAGTTTCGCTCGTTCTCCTGAATTCCTACAGCTCAGCGCCTTGTAGGACAGAGGACTGAGGGGGCTGCAAGATGCTGAACGGGGACAAACGGGGATAACTACGGTGTTGGTTGGTTTTGTTATTTATTAGTTTTAATAACAGAGTAGCATTGGAGAATTGACAGAGGAAAGCCAGCAGGAAGAGAAATGACCGAGAAAGACAGAAAAGAAAGAAGGTATTAATACACAGAGAAATAACTAATTATCAAGTCAGAACCATCATTTGACACATTAGTTTGGCCACACAGATAGTAAGGATGCAATTTCAATAGGTCCTCATGCACTTTTCTGTTTGTAAACTAACAATTTCTTTCTAAAAAATTAAGAAATATGCCATGATACTGGGTACTAGATAGTATCTTACTGTTAAGTTTTTGTACAACTGGTGGTTCTGAAAAAGCGGTAGAAACAATGGCTGGTCTGACAGATTAGTTTAGTAGATACATTGAAATGAGTTTCAATTACATTCAGAATAGAAAGCAATCAAACTAAATCAGAATGCCCACAAACGGCATTAGAAGTGAAGAAAAATTAAAGGAGACATACACACAAAGATCAAAACCCATTAACAATACAAAACAGTTTCAACTAGAAGATTAATGAAATTGCTGTCTGCAATTTACAGGAAGTGATTTTTTTTTTTAGAATTCTTTTTAAGAATATTTTTGCCCATTCTATGTTTTGATACTTCTAGAATAACAACTTACTCAAATACATTCTCAACAGCAAACTATTTTATACATTAAAAAAACAGGCTGACAACAACAAATCAACTTGGAAATTAGTGTTTGAGTAACCAGGATGGCAGCTTGTGTTGGCCTGCACAAGCAGAAAGACTATTACCAAAAGATCTGACAATAGCATGTATCAGATGCTCTGATTTTATCTTCAAAGAGAACTTTAACTGCAAAACATATAATGGGAAAATTCTTAAAGCAAAGTGTTCTTGGACTTTCTCTTTATTTAACTGAAGAAGAAGATTGGGGAGAACTATGTTATTACTGCAAAGTTTTATTTTTCTGCTCCTGTTTGTCTCTTCTGGTCGTTTAATTGAGTCTTAGCACAATTATTACCCAGCATGTCACTTGAGGAACAAATAGGGGCTCTATAATCTCTTTCCTATTCTTTTTTTTCTCCATGCCAAAGAAATTTACATCCTCTAATTCCTTAATGAAAAGCCAAACCAAATGAAACCAAACCAATATTTCTTGCCTGTATATCCCTCTCTGAGCACACTTGAAAGAATGCAGTTCCTCATAGAGTTAATTCTTCTAGTCTTACAAAAGTACAGCTGCTGTTACAGGAAGAGCTCATAGACTTAACAGTATTAATGCTGCAAATTCTCCTGCACCAAGAGATTAACATTATGAATACAGAGTCTCATGTAAGTGTTACAGCAATGGCATTAATGCTTGCCTTATAGTTCATAGGGATTTATGTTTAATGAGGAATTATGACTAACTTAAAAACAAGCAAGAAACAAGAAAACAGGGATTTTTGTTTGTGGTTTTATTTTGGTTGAGGGCATCTAAACCAGATAGGAGGCAGTGGCATAATGCTTTATACCACTTATAATTTATGTGGCTCCTGCTCTGTGATTCAATTCCCCTTCTGCATGCTGATTATCTGAAGTTACCACCAAGGAAGACAATACAAGTATTAAAAGAGAAACAGTTCATTTTCATTTGTGAAGTTGCCAAACAAGGCTTTAGGCAGCACTTCCAATGATTCATGTACTAACAGGATTACATCTGTTCAGAGGAGCTTTTTGAAAGCTATTTACAAAACAGTTTGGTTTTGAAGGATTTATTTTAAAAAAGATCTTTTTAAAAAATATGTATTCTTATGCTGGATGTCCCTAGTACCTCACTTAAATTTTAAGGACATGAATCCATACTCCTAAAATTTAAGGATATGAATCCTTAAAATTCCAATCTCAGTCTGGATTTTTTTACATTGCAAATTATTTTTACAACCAAAGGGCAGGAAAATTTTCTAGGGAATAATGGCAGGCTGGGATGAGTGGAGTGTTCAGAGCACAGCTGTGAGCCATTGCCATCACTTGATCATTAGTCTCCAGGAAGCATCCTGTATGAAGGGGCTGAAGTTATTACTCCTAGAGAATAATACCTGGAAAACAATCAGCAGATGGATTATTCTTCTGGAGGTATAGTTCCAGTTAGCATAGGGAAGGCACTTCAGGGAAGTGCCTTGGACTGAACTGACGAATCAGCCTTTCCTGCTATTTGGAGCCTTTCTCAATATTCCACTCAGTTTAGAGTTGGTTGTGCAGTATAAACACGAGCAGTCACAAACAGCTTCATGTTTGCTCCAGGAAGGTAACCATTTACATGCCACCTTCTCAACTATTCCCTAATGAAGAGCTGAATTTCCAATATCCTTCTTGGTAGGTGATATTAAATATTAATTTTATAAGCTATTGTTTTTGAAGAGTGAAAAAGAATTTTGTGCCTGTTAATTCTACAATTTGCAGAATATCATCCTCATGTTTGCCCCTACAGCACTACCCCTGTGGAAACATACCACAGCCTAATTAGTTATAAGAGTTCTTAAGTGAAAGCTTCTTTAAAAGTAATCTTAGCAGATCTCTGTTCCTTCTTACCTTCTATGTTCTTTAATTAGAATAAAAATCCTGTCCACATCAGACAAGAAACACTAGCCTTGACTTACAATAATATATTGCTGCACGTGGTGAGGGTGTAATGGTAAAGTTCCTGTGGATGATTATAAAACATCCTATTATAAAAGAAGAGGTAGCTGTCACTTACCTAAAGTACATGATAAGCAAGTATGCCCTGGTTGTATTTGGAATACAGTTTTGCCTGGGCTTCAATTACCACCTAGAGATATCATCACATTTCTGCTCATTAATTTTCCTTCAGTGAGTACCATCAGGGAGCTGTTCTGGGGCTGGCAGACAACTTTACAATTATTATAACCTCACTGAACCTGCACATTTAACTTCACAGGTGTTAAATGCACAGTAGCCAGGGACTATCTTTATAAAAGTTAACTTTCTCCATGTGGGAAGTGCTCTGGTAGGGGCTGAAATGCCTTTGCAGCAAGCAGCTCACAGCTTTAGCAGTGGATGTGCTAAATCAGCTCTTTCCAGCTAGGTGTGCATTTCCTTGAACAGCCATGGCCAGTGTGATGTTGTTGCCCTGCATGTTTTGTATTTATTTATTGCATTAATGAATAGGCAAAAGTAAGAAAGAGTTAGTAGGAGAAAGAGAAAGAGGCATAGCAAAGAACTGTACAGGGAAGCTTTCATGCTGTCATGCACACTAACCACGGACGTTCGAGTTCATTCTGGGATGCTACCATACACCCATAATTAGATCAGTGACTTTGCAACATCCGGCAGGGAATCTGGAAAAATAGATGTCTGAGACATGAAGCCTCTGCTCTTATAGGATTACCTGCATCTCCAGACAATGCAGCTGTGCTTTTACTCCGAGCCAGGAATGAGTGTGTGGGCGTCAGGAGCCTGCTAACGATGCTGCTCTCCCATGGGCTGAGCTGAAGACGGCGAGCTGAACGTGCACCATACAAGCAAGATGTTAGATCAAACACTTCACAGATAACCACATGCTGCAGAGTGTTAGTACTCTTCCCTCACTACTGCATACCATGAAAATCTTGAAACTGTCCACAATAGTTCAGAGTTTTGCATTTTTTATTACTCCTTTTTAGCAGAATTCCTACAGAAAGATGCACATCTGAACATTTCATTTGCGTTACTGCCTGTGGTATTATGGCAAATTGTTACCAAATGAATATGGATATTTTACACACCTGTCTCATTCCACTTTAGGAATGACAGGACAATTTCCTTACTAAAGGAACAGTTGTGACTCCTAATTATAGACTTCAACAGAGATGTTTGTGTTCCAAAGGCCTCCTACACTAAAGATATATAGTCTTCCAGTTACACTAAAACACCATCCAAAGTTTGCCAGTCTACCTAGAAAAACCAAAGAAGGCTGCTCACTGCTATACAGAGAATTGTGTCAATGAGATTTTATCAAAGCATTGCAAAAGGATAGTGCACCTCAGCTGCAGATAGCAAGCTCAGCAGCTGTAGTTGTCTCGGTAATAGGTGAAGCCACAGAAAACAGTAAATATATTTGATCATTAATTCTCTGTCCAAAGATCCTGCTAATGATCAGCTTCCATGTAGAACACTTTTCACACACTTGCTCTGTTTTGAAAACACTCTACATGTTCACCTGGCTGCAATCACACTGCTACTTTGTTTTTCCCAGTGTTGTCTAATGCAAATGTAGCTTGTCAATATAATCCTTTCATCTTGTAAAGTTTCTTTACTTTTTTTTTTAAATACTAATTATACATTTATCATGTCAAAGCATTAACCTGAAGAAGTCTGTAAGTTACTTTCAATATTGAATTGGGTATTTCTTTGATATTCCAATGCAACAAATTGTTTAATAATGGCTATCACAAGCCAAAACATTCAACTAGTTCCCGAAGTAGTTCATTATAGTAAGCTTATACTATAGCAGTAATCTTGTTACTGCAAGCAAAATCAGATCTTCTTACATCTCAGCATTCATTTGTCTTAGTTTAGTGTTTGCAGCAACAAAACTGCAGCTTAAATTTATGAGGCTCAATCTCTACAACATTCATTGAAGTGACTGGCTGGGACAAACTTGACGTTTATTTGCATTTTTAAAGGAAGAGATCTATCACTTTTAATAGACATAAACTCTGAATCTGTCTTTAATCTACTCCTTGCTGAGCCCCATGAAAAGAGAGGCTGATCTCAATCTCCTCCTATTAAAATATAATTGCTTAATCTGTCCTCTGTGCTGTTTTGCATTTCTCAAATTGCTCCCTTAAATTCCAGTAATGCAATAAGGGGCATTACTATAGAAATATAGGACTCCCAAACACAGCAGGCTCTTTTTCTAACTGTCCTTTTACACAATGTACAATTGCCAGAGCTTTTCGTGATTAATGGTTCCATTCTGCAATGGTAGAGATCATACAGACACACAAAATACCCTATAGAGACCTCCATTACAGCACACACATTAAGTTTGCAGTTTAACAATGAAGAAATCACAGAGCTACCATTAAACTGGATGCAGTAATGGTAAAGTCATTGCTTCCTCTCATCTCCAGGCACTGTGCTCAGTATGATCACTGTTTAAAGCTACCACTGAAGACAACAGATTGGTTTCTGTGGTCTCAGGCTTTAGTAGATGAGGTGTACAGGTATGATTGTAGATGAGTTTGGAGAACTCTTCTACTGTGGTTTAATATAAAGATTACACAACTTCAGAAAGCAAACCTTGATATCTTAGGCCAGTAAACCAGTACTATATACATTATCCATTTCTTGGTGTTTATCTTTACATAGTAAGTAAATGTCACAATGTGAATATGGCCCTGTGGGCCAGCTGCAGGCCTTATGCCACATATAATCCCCTAGAGATGAAATAATCTTAAGAGGACACAGCTAAGAGACTGATGATTTAGAACACCAATGCCCCACCTGCCATGTCTTGCATATCTCAAGTCCCTTGCTCTGAAGCTGAGTATGCTTTAATTATCTTTGGCCCTAACTCAGGGGCACTTGTATCCACTTCCCCTATTGGAAGCAATCACATGTCCACAGCATCCAACTGAAGCACTGAGGCAGTGTTTGGGAGTGAGCTTGTTGATCTGCACAACAGTGAACTAAAACAAAAAACTTTCTTCTCCATATAAGCAATAGGCCTGGTTCAGAGACATCAAAACAGTTTTAGCTGTGGACTGAAGTCTCCCTGATCCTCTACAATGGGTTTAGATCAGAGTTTGTTTGGATGCACCTTGGCTTTATGGGTCAGAGTCATCACATACTGAATTTTCCAAATGCACAGCTACCTCAAAGCATCACACTTCACACATTCAATACATATTTTAACAGATTAGCACCACCATTCACCTAGAACAGACAAACTTTCCCCCAACTTAGTTGGGTTCCAACTACAAGAGTATTAATACCTAAATGTATTGAACAGCTTCAGTTTGGTGTCCAAACCACACTGGAGTAAAACTGAATACCAAAAAACATCCCAAAATAATAACAACTTTAAGACAATGAGGCCAGGGTTTTTTCTTGCTCTTTTTGTTTTTAATGTCACGGGGTGACATTTTCAAGATTTAGTCTTTCAAACCATCTGACAGACAAGGGGAAGCAGAATTTTTTGTTCTCATGATGTGTTAAGCTATCACTCTAAGAGCTATTTCATAGAATTAGAGAATAGTTTGGGTTGGAAGGATCTGAAAGATCATCTAGTTCCAACCTTCCTCTCATGGGCAGGGACACCTTCCATTAGACTGGGTTGCTCAAAACCCTACCCAGCTAGACCTTGGGCATCTACAATTTCTATGGGAAACCTGTTCCACCTTCCTCCATCAACCTATCTCACCAGCCTCAGAGTCAAGATTTCAAGATTTTCTTCCTAATATCCAATCTAAACCTTTAATTTTGAGGCAATTACTTATTATTACTTATTATTTTATTGCTCCATTTTCACACAAGAAGCACATTTGTGATAGGCTTGCTAGTACAAGGAAGTACCCTTACCCCAGCCACAAGCAAATTATTTTTAACAGATTAAAGATCTCTATAACCTAACTTGTAATTAAAAAGAACACAAGCTACAGGGTGCTGGCAATAGTAAATTGGTTACAATCACCTGTATTTGTCTTCAGGATATACAACCTCAATACTAGAAAGTTGTCTTAGCAGCAGCAGAATAATTTGCAAGTAAGCAAACAGCAGCATTTGATTAGTTGTAGGAACAGATGGGAGGCAGGGATTTAACAGGCCTTCTGATGAGCACCACGAAGGAGACTCTCATTCATAAATGTGGTGTTTGCTTACACACATGAACAATATGGTGAGGAGTATATTGGGGGAAACTGATCTTTCTACAGGAAACAATACTGGAGCCCCTGAATGTCTTCTATAATGGTTGCAGAAAACAGTTATGCAGCGATTGAGAAAATCATCTGCTTGAAGGAAAAATCACTGCAGAGAAGGGGAGGAAAACAACTAGAGTGCAAGTTTTGCAAAACTTCAAGTATGTAACTCATACCTCATGAAAAGTAGTATCCCCTTGCTAAGCTCTCCTTAAAGACCACAACTGCCAAAATCTATTGGTTGGTCAATAGCAATTTTCTCCAGTTGAATATGTGCTCCTGTTCTGTTACAGTTTCAACCATTCACTAACTACAGTAACATAAAAGCACAATAAAAAGCCAGTTCTAGATGCCCAATTGCACAACTGTGATAAAGAGCTATACAGCAATACAATACTTGAAATGGCATCAACCAGTATTTTAGACAATTAATTAATGAAAACTTTTGTCTTTTGTTGCACCAGAAGAAAAAATGTCCTTCAAATGATAAAAAGGTGCTGCACAACAGATGACAAGTTCTTGTTGACAGCTATAAGCCACTTAGTAGGTAAGCTTATCATTCTTATCTCCAGCTCACTGTTTTGCAGGTAGGAGCCTGTATTACAGACAAAGTGTGATTGGGTGCCCTCTGGAAGGTGAAATGGGGAGCAGGCAGTCACAGCCTCCCTTTAAGCACCTGCCTTAAGAGGTTAAGGCTACTGGAAAGACTAGTGGCACTTCTCCAGATATATGGCTCAACTAGATTTACGTATCTGACTTTACAAGAGAAAAAGCATTTAGATTTACTTTCTGCCTTGGAGTCTGCAAAAGTCACTAGAGTCCTAAAGGGTTCTATGTTGTTTTAGTAAAAATGCTAACCAAAAAATGCCTCAACATTTGACATATGGCCATCACTTCCATATTCCTTTCCTTTCCCTACCACTAGACTGCCTAGTATTCAGTTTAACTTCTGCTGAACTTGAAATGGGTGGCAGAAGCCAAAACACTGTGTTACAGTCCATAAGAGACTATCCTTTGTAGTTAATGCCTGCTGCTGTTCACCTCCCCACTTTGCTAACATCCTTCCTCAAAAAAGCATCTGACAAAGAACAGCAACCATTTGGAAAAAAAAAAAAAACAAAAACACACCTGAAAAGCTAATAAAGTTAAAACTGACTGGATTTCAACATTTAGAGCAAGAAATGACTGGTGCTTAATAAATTATTTCCTAAGGTAATAATGTATTTTTCACAAGTTACCAAACTGTACAGCTAAGTTTGCCCACTAAGATGAACATGGCTCATCAAATCAACCAGATACATGTGTTCACGCAAACTTGGAACTTGGTTAAGACACACAGATAATGACATCAACTAGACAGCGCAACTAAAAGCTGCTTAAAAATTGGTTTAAAAACAATTTTATGGATTGAAATGGGACAGAACTCATTCTCAGTAGAGGACAAAAAATCCCTACCAAGTATTTTACTGTAAAGCTCTTTGCACAAGTTACACAAGAGACATTCTTCTATAAAAGTTTTAAGCTCAATGCTTCAATCTCCTAAGTCCTCAGAACAGCAGCAGCAATTCAGCTATGTTAATTTTTAAGAGCTTGATGGTTTGTCTCTTTTCAGACTTGAAAACACCAAAAATGTACACTGAAATGAAGCAATCTTTGAGAAATAACTGGACACAGTCAATAAACAGACAATATGAAAAACACCCACACCGCTTCCACAAAAATAACCAAAATGGTAATAAAATCAGAAAATGTAATAACATAAGTGTTTGAAAGCTTCATGCAACATGTTCTTAGACATTCAAGAACTATTACCAAAAAGAAAGGAAAACAAAATAATGACAAAATGGTCTAATACAAATAAAAGGCAACACATGATTGCATGCAGTATGAAGTGATGGATTCTTTCAATAGTTGTACCTCATTTACTAAAAACCTGACAGAAGCACTTTTATCATTTGCTAAGTTAGGATTGTTTAGGTAAGGTCTCTTGTTTTAAAAAACAAGAATTATTTGTTCTCACAGGAAAAAATGTTCAACCATTTACTTGTCACATTTGAAGTCTTTCCACTATCACTTAGATGAAGTACAGAAAATGACTTCAGAAGCTTGTTTTATGTGCAAAGTAATACATCAGTACAGAACATTCTTTCTTGCTGCTCTTTTAATGCTTTTTTCTTCAAAACTGTACCTCTGTCTGGAGAATTTAGTAATGTTGCAGATGAGGAGGAGAGCCGCTTGTTTATGACTGGATCAACATGTTTCGAAAGGTTCATTGTTGAAACAGACCGCCTGTCTCGATCTAAAACAAATGGAGATAATGCTAATTGACAGCCCACATGCAATAGTGCAAGTTCCTAGCTTACTAGTGGGAGGAGGAAAACAGGACTAGGTCACTCCTGCTCTATCACAAGAACTTCCAAAATAGAATGGATTTCTCAGCAGACGTTGTACAGGTGACTCAAAGACTAGGCACAACACAATTTAAGCTTCAAATGTGCAAAATATTCTGTTTATTATCACTCAATGGGCTGCAATCTAAAGACTTTCAATATTGTCAGAAAATCTTTGCTCACAAATTACAATAGAAAGCTTCATGGAAGGACCAAGATGCTTCAAAACACTAAAAAACCATGCTGCCATCTGAATAAAAGGTGACAGGGCACTGTTACTAGGCAGATGGTCAACATTGTGATAGTGCCATGCTGAAAGATTAAGGGAAGACTAGTGCGCAAAGGAAGTAAGGGTAAGCACCAAAGAAATTAAAGGATTTAGGTAAAAAACCCACAGTTATGTATAAGTGCTAAACCACCCAACAGAGTTATTTTCAGAGTGCTGAAAATCCAGCAGATTTTAACTTTAGCAGATATAAAAAAATCAGCCTCTGCAGAAAGTACTTGTAATGCATCTACTCAACATACATAACATGAAAAATTTATAATTTGATTTTAGTTTCTCTACATTTTAGAGTGGTATTACATCGTTTGCACAACTGCTGCAGTCAGCACCTGCGTCCTGCTGAGGGGGTGATGGTTACTTCAAGAATAGAGACTGCACACACTTTGTGCATATGTGTGCCACAGAAAGTCTGCCGTGTCCTTTCTTTTCTCTCTCTCTCAAAAAAAAAAAAAACCCACACAAAAAGAGCTCCAAACTCTGTGCTTCAAATGCACATTTCCCATTACAAATTTTCATCTGAAAATCTGACATCCAAAACATGCTGTGAGAATCAATTCTGCTTTTGCTTACATTTTAGCATGTACTGAACCTCAGTACGACTCAGCAAAGCACTCAACCATGCTGAAATGCAATGAGGCTTGAGCATATGCCTAACTGCCCTGCCAATTCATAGTCTGCATGTGCAAAACTTTCTCTGTACACTGTTTTCAAAGCTGACACAAACTCAGGACAATGACTGCATTAAGGATGCTGCTGCTAAAATATTATTTGCCAGTTTATTTATGACAAGTTTATTAATATTGTATTTACCTGTTCTGTCCCAATAGATTAAACGATACGCAATGTGTACAAAAAAAATTCACAGAAATAGATTCTATGAAAAATACCTTAACTCTCCCCAGATCTATGAACTATACAGCATCCACTATAAGAAAGATTCTCCCTACCCATTTGATTATTCGTTAACTTTAATGTTAGAATGACTTGGTGAGGGTATACAACTGGCAGACTGGATACTGGGAGGGGAGTAAAAACTCAGAAAGGTGTTTTAAAAAAGGAGAAATCTAAATGTTATAACTAAGAAAAAGACCTCTATAGACTGTCAAGATGATCACAGATTGATCTGTGGGGTAAATTGGAGAATGCCCTGTGCAAGTCACTACTGGACAAAAGATGTTCAGGCTTCCTGAGAACAGAACAATATTTGTAGGAATGGGATGGGGATCTTGATCTCATGTATAATCTGCCACTGAGAAATTACACAGTGTATCAGTACAGCCATGAAGTTTCTACATTTGGCAGAAAGGAAGTATTGCATAAACTGGCCTTCTGAAGATGACAAATGACAATATTGAAAATCACCTCTGTTGTTAGCATGACAACATTTCTCGTGTCAATGAACCTTATTTAAATTAATGACATTTAGCATAAGGATTTGAATACAAGTGTTGGCAATATGAATCCTATTAATGCAGAATAGGCCAAATGCAATCTATTGCCTGGAAAATTGCTGCTTTCCTTATCCAAAAAAAAAAAAAAAAAAAAAAAAAAAAAAAAAAAAAAAAAACAAAAAAAAAAAAAAAAAAAAAAAAAAAAAAAAAACCACAACCAAAAAAGAAACAAAAAAAAGGAATTAAAATACCCATAAGCAACAAAACAGCCAATGCAGCTGGTTATGTGTCTGTGTTCATGTGCAAAATTGTAAATCCTACGTGCAGTATGCCAAAAGGGTTTTAGAAAATAACAAAATATTCTAATTTCCTCTCCTTGAATTCCAGTAGATAGAATATTATGCTTCATTTCAGTGAATTGTGCCAAATCTTTAGAGTCAGCCAGCAGTAACTCTCCACCATAAAAATAAGTAATAATGAAAAATCTGGTACTAACAACAGCTCTAATCTATCAGCATGGTGTTAAGCATGCATTGGAACTACATGACAGTGGTTTAGTTACTGATGATCTCACTTCCTGAGAACTAGCTACAGGTGAAGGAATAACAAACCACAGCATTATGTACCAGGTTTTCTAGCACCACCCAGAGATTTGAAGTGGTGCTCCAGGCCTGCTAAATCGAGAAAGGTGAATGATGATTCAAAAAAATAACCTAGGAACAGAATGCAAGACAATGATTTTTCACAGAAAATAAAATTAAAATCAAATAAATTATACAAAGTAAAGCAAAAAAGTAACCTTTTATGAAAAAATAACTGTTTATTGAAACTATATATGACAAAGATTTCAGAGCATTTTTTTCTCAACTCTTTTTTCCTCCCCTGATGAGAGGTGAGACACATAGAAATTAGAATAGGAAGAAATGAACGTAAAGGATCACCTTCTATTAAAAGAAGTAAAGGAAAAGTTCACTTTTGGGAGACTTGATTGAACAGGGCATATACACATTAATGATTGGCAGATTAAGTTGCAGAAGATAACTGTGGGGAAAAGCATATAGCTAAAATTCACTTAATTTGCCAATTTTTAGAGGAAGAAAAGGGACTTCTATTTCCCCAAATTTCTGTATACAGCACAGATCTCTTATTACAAAGAAATATTTTTCTTCCTTGTATATACTTTAATTTCAGTAGTTGGTCATTTCCACCAGACCTACTTTTAAAGGCACAAAGCTAGCATTTGCCACAGTGTCTCATATCACAAGACTGACAAAGCATAAGCACACCCACGTATACACACACACAAACAACAGCAAAGCAGCAGGAGCCAGAAGCTGTAGCAAGGTAGTTACAGAATAAGTCAACTCCCAAAACAAGCTGTAACTTTTGTTCAGATTTCTTTCTCCTTGTTACCTTTTTGCTACACAAGAATGTCACAAACATGCCACTGCTAGCAATAATAGGACCAAGAGAAAAAAGAATTCAACCTAACATACACTGAATCGTTCTTCCTTTCAGAAGAAGAAAAGTAAATTCTAGTTGACTGGTGGGGAAGGGAAACTGTCGAGCAAAGCAAGCCTCCCTCTTTACCTGTGTTGTTAATGCGGTTGTGTAGTGCTCCTCCCCAGGACCACCTGTTTTGCCTTTGTTTGGGCTTCTGGCTTCTTTCAATTGTGCGACGTACAACAGCTTCATGTCGTTCCTTGAGTACAACAGCATAACACATTTAGATACTATTGATTTCTTAACTTTATTTTCTTATCAAACCCTGCTACTCTCCATCACATGGACAAAACCAAGCAGGCATCTTAGGTGCTTAAGCTTATGTGTTGCCAACTTAAGACACACAGACTAGAACAAAACTAATCAGCAAGTAAGCCGTAAGACAGCACATTAACTGAAATTTTGAAAATCTAAGATCTGTTTAAGTGGCCCTGCTACTACACAAACACATGCTAGTGCTACTTCCCATCTACTAAATACCAGAAGAGTGGGAGAGATAGGGAACACAACACCTACAAGGATGAGGTGACTTACATAGGATCACACTGCACGTACTTCTCAGTTTAACTCAGACAAATCACCCAAGAGCGTTTTTCATTGCACACTCATTCCTGAAAAGGTTTTTTAGGGCAACTTATATTTAACTACCCTTAAACTGAATGGCTAAGAATTAACAGATAACCATAAAACCTGGCCCAAATGGGTTTTCTGCATGAGTTTGCACAGTGCCATACACAGCAATCCAGGCTTGCTCAGCTTCACCGCATTTGATTCGAAACAGAAGCAGTACCTGTGCAAGTAAGGCTTAAAATCCTTCCACACACTCTTTCATACTGACCATGGCTCATGTTGCATTCTTTACATCAGCTCTGAGAGAAGAAAGTTGATAGTACTGCATCTTAGGGCAAGAGAAGTTGGAAAGTTGTTTCACAACATTCATTCTTACCTTCTCTTCTTCTAGTTTCTGCCTTCGCTTTTCCTCTACGGCAGCTCGTCTTCTCTCTTCCTTTAGTCTCTGCTCTTCTAGCTTCTTTCTGCGTTCCTCTAGGTGTTTTTCATAATGTTGCCGTGCTCTCTCTTCTCTTTCTAGCCAGACGGATTCTCTTGCAGCTGTGAGAAAAATGAGAAATAAAGCTATTAACTTGCTTTATGCAATGAAGTCTTTAATACATTTCAAATAACCAAGGTAAATGGAAAGCCTTTTGAACTCTCTTTCTTCAGACATACTCAATATCCTCATATCTCCTCATTTATTAAAATGTACCCTGCTTACACACTGATTTTATTTAATCTCAATTTACTTGTTATGAATTACCAACAGTTATTTGAGCAGACAGTTTCTTCATGGAAGAAAGGATTTTTTTCTAGCTAAAAACGCCTAAATACTGAACTCAGAGGCATGTGAACAAACTTCTGTTAAACAAACCATGCTAATTCTCTGCAATATTTTACTGAGAAAAGACAATAAAAGGAGGTAAAACTATAATAACTTTCACCTTTATTGATCAACAGATATCTCTTAGGATAGAAGTGACTGGGATGACAATTCTAGCACCTGGACCAACAGAAGGAAGGATGTTACCCACCAAAGAAGTCTAAAAGTAAACATTAATCTGTCACATAATTCTACTTATGTACAGCTTCAAACAACATGTTTCAGAAGAGCTAATCAAGACAAATAAAGAAGCCAAGACCAAGTTTTTCTCCCTATCTGCACCTGAACTTTCATGAATTTTGCAGAATGCAGGCTCAGACTGCAGTCCACATTAAACCATTCATGCAGGATACTCTGGATCTCTCCCCACTGGTTCCTTGAATCCTTTGGGACCCAGAGTGGAGCTAGATTTTTCCCTTGTGCAACATTCTATCTTTGCAGTCTCAGTGCTACCATCACACAGGAAGTGCTCTAGACTCTTACAGAATCCTTTCACCACACTGGTACATAAATTAATAAAAAAAAACCAAAATCCAACCAAAGCAAACTAACCTACCACAAAAAAGAACCCCAAACCCAGGTCATACATCCTGTTACCTAGACCCTGAACACACTAAGTAACTCAAACAATGTAGCTGTTCAAAACTGAAACTCTTTTGCAGAAGTTTTGAAAAATCCATTCTCTTTGAAAGTGCCAAGGGCATCTAAGAAGCACAATTGCATATATCTCATGAAAATCCAGCGATCTGTAGCATGTCAGCTTTTAATGAATAGTCACTTTTGTACAGACTCTAATGATCATATCAAGATGAGCTGCTGCTGTGAGCCACAAGACTTCCATGGATCCTGTGATGAACTGGCTTTTTTGTGCCTGGAATCTGCTTACAATGGCAACCCGGCACAAAAGAAGTCTTTGGTGGTCTACTGAAAATTAATAAAGCAAAAAAAAGGAAAAAAAACAAAACAAAACACCAACTTCAACAGCATTCTTAACTGATGTCACTGGAATATTAATTTGCCTATTAAAGACATGGATATTAATTGTTCTTTCTGTTATTAATGTAAGTGGCTAAACTTCCTTGGGACACTGTTTATGGTGATTTCCATAGGTTTCCATCTTTCATGTTGTTTAGGAAAATAATGAGAATAGGACATTTGAACTTTTAAGACTAAATTCAAGGAGAGAGTGGCTAAAAGATAACTATATACATTCTTTGTGCTGGTAAGAATCAGAATGCTGGACCTCTGTACAGAACACTGATCTTCAGTTTTCTGCTTCTCTGAAAAGGGGTGATAAAAATCACATTTTTATGATACAGTACGACAGCTCAATAACAGAAACAAGCATTAGTGATGGATTAACCCAGGCAAATGGATGTGTTTGGCTGGAATAACTTTTAACAAAAATAATAGACCTGATTCAAAACAAATAGAAAGCAACATCTTTCCACATTTGGGCTACAGGCAAAAGACAGCAGAAAATATGTGCCTACTTGTAACATAAGGAAGTTACTAATTTTATGCTTGGACCAAGTATTTAAAAAGTACTAGAAAGTATGATTTATGATATATCTGTTTGCTGAAACAAGTGTAATGTCTACTTTCATTTGTTTAATTTTTTTCACAGATAGAGATATAATCTTAAATACTTTTATTTTTTTATCAATTCCTGCATTTTATTAGCGAAACAAAGGAGAACATCTTCTTTGTTTACACTTCTTCCTGTATGCACTACTGACATTCTTCTATGAACTTAATGGCACAGTTTTTGTCACCTACAAGGTAGGTATATACAGTGACATAAGTTAGTGTCTTCAGAGATATAAGGATATCTTCAGGAAAAATAAGTTGAGAACATTTTATTTCGTTCTTATCCCCCTATTTATGAATTTTCAGAAATATTTTCTTGCTACCCCAAACAGATATGAACAAATTGTCTTGTAGAGTAAAAAGTTTACTCTTTAGACTGCTGCTCTAACAAAAAAATATTTTTAAAAATATATTAAGCTCTATTGTGGATACACAGCTGTGCTTCTAGAAGCACAGCATCAAATGCCTTGCTGATAGAAAGAATCAGCAGATGAGCCTACAAAAAACTGAAGATATCTCTAGAAGATTTCTTCAATCTGAAAGAGCAGCCAATTTGAGGATGTGGCAGGGAAGAATACCAACTTCTATGATGGTGTCTCCAGAAACTGTGCCAAGAGCTCTGCTTGGTGCTGAACCAACACAAAACTCCAGGCATTTTCTCGGGCCTGAGCATTAACAGGTTCATGATCCTTTGTAATACCTCACACTGTCTGACAAAATGCAAGATTCATTCAAGGAAAGGTTGGTCATTATTGAGATAGCACTTGCATGATGAAAGATTAAATCCCATTGGAACAATTACATTAAAGCTGGAAAGTACAAACAAAAGTCACGGCCTGATCCATTTTCTATTCCATTCCATAGTACAATCAATACATTTGAACACAGCCATGTGATACAAGGACACAAAATTAGAGCATAAAAACAGATTTAGAAATTGAGCCCTAGACATGTTGTTGAATACCTTCTGCTTGTTTGCAAACTAGAATGCTGGATTAGATTACAAAGCAACATCATTAAGGCTGTGTTTCTGACACTTCTGAAGTGAATAACAGAGCAAAAGAAAACAAGGTCAATCAAGGAAAAGACACTCCAATATTAAGAGACACATAAGACTTGAAACCAATTAATTTTACACTGGCATTTACTAATGTAATGTGGAAGATGTTAGCTGCAAAGCATGCATGTTTCTTTTTTGGAAACAATTTTGTAGTTTCTTTCCCCAGCCACATATAGTAGAACTATTCTTTGCAGAGGTTTTAGGCAGTGAGGGAAGGAGGAGCATGAACTAAGTGTCAAAGCCTTGATTTTCTGTTTATTTCTGTGAATCAAAAAATGTGTCCCCAGATTCTCTTTTTCTATCTCTTCTGCTGTCTCATCACTTCAGTCCTTTTTCTTTTGGTTTACTGCCTATACAAAGGCAGATCAGTCAGGCACCATACTTTCTCAGTCTGCCTTTTGAATCCATGGACACATGGACAGCTCACCTGACCCAAAATCCTACAGTCCTTGTCGCGCTTTCCAGCCTTTATATTTCCTAACTTTACAACACTGACCTCATCAGCAGGAGCTTTCTCCTCTGACTGCTCTTTCACCTTTGTTCACTGCCAGCTCTGCACTGAGGCTGTGGCTGCCCCCTTGCTGCATTAGCAGTAAAACGGGTCAGTGATGCTTTAACCATACCTAAAAATGGGGACATTACACAGAAGTGGCTGACTGAACAAACTAAGTGAACTTCAGAACTGTAATTAAAGGTGAAGTTAATGTGAGATTCTCTAAGCCAACCCTTCCCCAGTAACCACACTCTGAGGGAAATTTTTCACAGAAATTTCTAAACTAATCTTCCTTAAAAGTTGTTTTCTTGTCTTATAAACCCTTTTGACACTCAAATTCTCCAAGGAGATCCCAAAATTATTCACATGCTAGGGTCAATGATTCCTAGTTTCTGTGGGGCTTCTTTCTGTTGGAGAAGTTCTGCCCTCAAGTGCCAGGGAAGAAAATAGTTCAGAAGAAATTTACTCACAGCAAAAATTGTAATTATTATTAATGTTATTATTTTGCCAATGACCACTTTCTGTGATGTTTAAAATACTATTTTAGTGCTTATGTATTGTAAGTATTAAGAATTTAATAAATTTAGCCAACTTGAAATTCAGACATATTCTAAGAACTAAGATTAATCACTCTTTATTTAAGGAAATGTGCTAAGTCAAAAAGCAGTATTATCATCTTTTGTTCCCAATGCTAGAGACTAAATGAACCATGTGTCCTTGTCAGGATTATAATTGTGATTAAAAAAAGATCAGTCTTCAAGCAGGATTAGCGTAGATAAAACATGCACAGAATTGTGACTCAAAACAGTTTTCTCAAGAAGCAGGGGCCAAGATACTGCTAAGTAATAACAAGAAAAATCTTCCTCTTTGCTAGGCCATTACCTAAGGTTCCCAGAATGAAACCCATTTTAAAATCCCAGATATTTTCCCTGTTGAAAAACAGATTTTGATTTTTCTTTCCAGTTAGAGAGGACCAGGTCTGTGCTCTGAAACCAGAGACTAACTGGCATGGAACAATTTTCATGTCTACCACTAAACTTCTACCCTCTAAAATGGTGACAGCACTTAATTAGCACATACAGAAAAGCCCATGGACCTTCCCAGGTGATTCCCAATCCTTGTCTAGGAATCAGGAAGCAGACAGCTACTTGGCAACATCCTGCCAGGATCCATCATAACAGGTTTATAGCAAGAAAAATTAAATTTTAGCATCAGGGAATGCTCTTCAGCACTGGTAATTTGGCAGTACAGATACAACAGATAAGGGTAAAGTCCACATGATGAAAAAGCAGCAGCTTTCAGTAATGTTTTTCCAGTTTGACTAGGCTATCTACCATGGTTGCCTTCATGAAAAGTAAGTTCCAACATGTTTCTCTCAGCATCCAGTGCCAGAACACAGCTGCTCAGCCTGACACTTCTTAAGTGGCAAGCTGGAGTCAGAGTGTGGTAGGACCCTTTGCTCTGGAATAGACCCACTTGACCTACCACTGCCTCTCTTGGGCTTTCCATCCTGCACGATTCAAGAGGGTTAGTCTCACAGAGAGATCTGATATCTGTATTTTAAAGGACAGATGTTAACTTTTATCCATAAGTGCTGTGGAAAAGGGCACTAGTGGAAAGAGCACAAAAATTAAAACATGGTTACTAAAGAGCAAGTGACAACACTGGAAGCATTACTTAGAAAATCAAGCAAGATCACCCTCATAAAGTCTTTAAAAGCCTGAATGCAATATCAGCAAAACACACATTACCAAGTGGTCAGGAGATTAAAAAGATTGAAGCAGAAAACCCTCGATGAAATTGTTATAAGTTTAGTCATGCAAAAGGAACTGCACAGAAAAAAGTCAAAGAATTAATATTTTAGAAGTGTTGGGATGGCATTTCAAAATCAATGCCTTTTCTACACTGAAGGAACTAGAACAATCATTCCCTCTAGATGGTGTGATTTGCTGCATCCCTGTGTATCTTCTATGTTACCTAAAAATAAGTCTGAAACAAAAATATGAATATACTAAAGGTGAAAGGGGCATTTTTTTTGTAGAAGCTTCTTTAATCTTTTCAATTAGGTGGCTAAACATGATCCTCAAGAAACAGCATATACCAAACAGAACAAGATACATGAAACAGCAGTCCCAGCACATATATTATATATATATACATATATATATATATAACAAAAATGACAGCAATTCCTACTCTCTAAGCACTCATTAAAAACAAGACTTAGACACCCAAGTGTGCTAAGTAGTCTAAGACTTCTAAAATACTATTTCCAGGTGCAAACAAATCTTCAGGAGTTCAGAGCATATGCCAACCTACCACAGGAAAGCCAAATCTATTACAGCAGAGTGGAACTTGAAAAAAATTAGAACTTGAGAGTAAAAAAAAGGGGAAAGAAAGCTGGTCTTAAATAAACTGTCCTTTAATATCAGAATATTGCCCAATAAATAAACATGATCCTTATTAAACTAGTACTCCACATGTTCTTAACAGAAGGGTCAAACAACTTTCCTGACGTCCAGGAGTTCAAGTTGCTGAAAGTACAAAACAAAATTATTGCCAGCTCGACTCCTAGAGAATTGAACCCTTTCCTTTTTTTTGAGCAAATTTTACTTGAGGTATGACTGAAATTCTCAACTTCGATATAAAAAGAAGTCTTTGCTAAACCTGACATATCCCTTGAATCAAAAGGAAAGGAATTAAGTTTAAATCTAACCTAATTCTATTGAAAAAAAAAAAAGAAAATTCCTTCCTCCAGTTGCTTTACTGTTTGTGGCTCATGTCCCAGTATTAACAAAATCCAACTCTAATTTCTAGTAAGACACATTTATGTAACAATATTATACAACTTAATGTTTAAGAGAGACAGCTTAGGAATTTCTTTGCTGTGGTTCACATGACATGAGTGACTGATTATCTAGGTTCTGCACTAAAAAAAAAAAAGAAAAGTTGCATTACCATTGTAAAAATCATTGCTTTGCTGTACTGGAACACAAATCTCAATAGATAGCTCCTAAATCATAGCAGACAAATATACAGATCAAAGAACAATGTGACTTTCAATTTTCACAACAACACACAATACACCCATACATCATAGGGACATGCAGAACTCTCCCATGTGGAAATTAAGGATTCCACATCAACTTACAAAAACTCCTGATGTAGCTTTGATGTTGCTTTAAAACCTGTCACACAAAATAACACATTTCTCAACTGAAATCATGTCCTTCTGGTAACAAATACTCATTTATCAATAGCTAGAAAAATCAGAGTTGAGTTAAATTCAAGGAAAGCATTTCTCTCTACATTTGAGTAAAGCATTGTTATTATACAACGATGAAACCTGAGAAAAAAACAAATTCAAAACATGGAGCCATCATCTGTGAAAAACTAATTAAAATGGGCCAGTAATAGCCATTTGCTCCGAAATCAGAAAAAACTAAGACTACACGTACCATCAACCTCAACTCGAGGAGCAGCTTTTCAGTGATTATCACACATCCTGTCATGTTACCCCTTGCGCAAGCCAAAACTAAAGCTACTGCAATGCTATAAGGTGCTGTAAATAAGGGAGGATATAAATGCTATCAAGACCTAAGTAACAATTAATGATGGGTCATCAGGTTAGAAAAAACAACATAATTCTGGCTGGAGTTACAATATCGTTCTATAAACTTTCAGAAGTTAGAAATGGGAAATAAAGAACTTCTGTTTCTCAAGCCCTTAAAACGATTTCTTTCAGCATTGAAAGAAATCAGAGTAAACATATAAAAAAGAGGAAATACTTGTATTTCCCAACCTCCCAATTACCACAGAACTTTGTGGCAGCCAAACATATAAAGGTTGTTCAGACAGCCACCAATTTGGCTTCACATAATTCTTAATTCTCTAACCACCATACTTAGTACAGTGCCCATCAGTAGTAGTCACTTGTTAGGTAGCCTTCACTGCTCACTTGAACTGTGTTATACATACACAGGCACAGGTGACATAAAATATTGAGCACACCTACTTGACACCTAGTAAAGGTTTGACCTGAAAAAAGTACCCCACTACATTAAAAAATTCAAACTATGCATTTGCAACATATTCTGCAGTTCTATTTTATGTTATTCAGCATTTTAATCTTAAGTGGTTAAATATTCTAAAACTTCAAAATTCCATTTACATCAGCTAAGCTCCCTTGCATGATTTCAGAATTAAACCTACCTTTCATTCACATTCACAGAACAGGTGACAGATATAGTACTGATGAACTAAAAGATCTACTTTAAAGATATGATAGCGTATCCAAAATAACACTATTGCAAATCTAGCACTATTTTCCTGACTACCCCTAAAAATAAGTTGTCAATAATGCTGCATGAAGATGGCAGTTCATTAAAAACAAACAAACAAAAATCAGAGAGGGCCTTACCTAGCTGTTTTTCTCGCTCTTCTCTCCGCTCTCTGGCAAGCCGTTGCCTGTCATCAACCCTTAGTACTGTTGGATGATCTACAAATGGAGAAAGAAGAGTATTAGGCACATAGCATAAAATCAAATACTACCAAAACTAAACTTATAGGAAAATGACTGTTAACTCTAATTATTCTGTCAAAATATATGTTTTCAAAACTCCATCTTATTTTAAAAAACCCAGAAAACTGATAATTAGAATTCATTCCTATTTTTAAGATGTAAAATACTTCCAAAGAATAGACTAAGAGGTGACTGCAACTACCCAGCAAAACTACTGCTTGTAAAAGCCAAGGAAAAAGCTTTATTTTGTTTCAAAGCCTGAAACAACTTGACTGCTAGAGAGCATTTTGAAAAAATACTGTTTATTATTCCATAATGTCTCTCCAAAATGCATCCACAGGAAAGGCTATTATAATAAAGATTTATCTTCCCCTCGATATTACCTCAGAACAACCAATAAGCCCTATATCATGACACAAGAACCTCAGCACCCAAGCAAAACTGGCTGAATCAAAACACTGATCTGGCTGAGTAGTTCTAAAGCAGTTCTGGCTGAGCCTCTGAAAAAAGCATGATATTGATTTCAAAAGATGTTTGTGTGCACATGTGTTAAAAACTCTGGCAAACATACTAAATGCAGTCCATCACATGCATGGACTGGTATAACAAGAATCAAGTAAGATGAGAGCTTTAACTATTCTTGTAGACTGAAATTTATCTACATGAGTACTTCACAACTATCTGCAACTGGCTGCTTGGATCACAGCAGTAAGACTGAGAATAATATCAAAGATCCGTGTCAGATCTGAGGTCTGATTTTAAAAATTCAGGTTTGGCTGGAAAACATCACTTGCTCAATGATGGTTCTGGAAGACAGCAAAGTGCTGAACAGCTAGCATTCGACTTCCAGTTCCAGCAATGGAGCTGTTCCAGACAAAGGAAACAAAATCCAAGTTAGCAATTCATCTCAGCATGCTGCCAAAACTAATTTCCTACTCAGCCTGTTCTTTTAAACCTGGAAAGCTCTTAATATTATGGGGCTTTTATCAGTAGCACTGATAAAGATTCTGCTTTGCATAAGAACACAATAAACAAAAAACCCACAGAAAAAAAATTCTGGGTATAAATAAATGATCTGATTTATTTTGGTATTGAGGAGAACTCAGTTTTTAAGTTTTTTAAAATAAAGAGCTATTCAAATACTGTCATCATAAAAGTGCACAAGACAACAAAGCCTTTTCACTATTCAGTGTGAATACACATGTAAGCAACTCGTAAAAACATGCAGAGTCAGCCTACTTGTGTATAGGATGCATACATATGTGTATACCTATGCATACCTATGTATTAGCAAACAATAAAATGGGTCATAAAACTGACATTAAAGATATTTGCACAATAAGTCATTGAAATGAGTCTATGCTAGACTAATTTTGAGTACTTATTAGAATTAGATTTATAAAAACTAATGTGCATTTCATCCTCTAACAGAAGTTTCTGCATAAGCATGACAGGATGTCTTGAGTGAACCAGTTCACCAACAGCTACTTAAACTTTAATTACTCTTGAATTCTAATCAGTGAAAATCTTTTATCTCAACAACAGTCAGACTAGAGCCCAAATTAAGAGTATTAATAGCAATGCAAAGTAACAGCTGCAAGAAAGAAAACCCATTGCACAGCTGGCAGGGAGAACCTTCAAACATGACAGCACCAGTGAAGGGCATAGCAAGTGAAAAAGTCACCAGCAAAGACAAAGGTAATCTGTCACCCATTTGCAGGTCAAAACTTCAATGATGGCTGACTAGCCCACTGTGCTGCCATTTATGGGACTTTGCTCAGCCATGGCATGGCAGAGATTTGCCCTGTGCATGGTGAACATCTGCATTTGGCTGATGTTCAGCAGTGCGCTGACTCACGCGCAGTCCTTTTAGCGTACAGACACAGGTCAAAAGGGTAATAATATTCCTTCTCCCTGGTGACTGGCACACAAGGTTCACAAAACATGAATTCCTGTGGCATGAGAAATTAGTGCTTGTGGAATAATGCACATTTTCCCTGGAAAAACAAGGATTCCCCTTCAAGGGCTGTCAGCACAGTCAATGTAACATTGAGTTGACATAAAATGATGAGGCACTGGGGAAAAATGTAGAAACCTGCTTCTTTCAGAATATCCTTCCAGCTGGAGTTTTTTTTCCCCTTTCTTGAGAAGAGATTTCCCTATCGGAGAGAGGCAACAATTCTTCAAAGAGGTAGCAGAGTTACATGGACAGGCAAGCTGAAAAGGTCTCCCTTAAGAATTCCTAATTATAAGCAGTGAAGGAATAAAATAAATTTTTAAAGTTGCCCTCTGTCACTCTGTTCGAAGACATCCAATTATTTTTTCCATATCACACATATGATAGTGTTCACACAAGAACAGTCCCTCTCCCAGCACCCCAGGATGTTAGAACAATCCTAAAGAATTCGCATTAAGTTGCAGGCTATGCAGAGTGTGTGTCCTCAGTAACAAATTATTTTGCATATATTTGGGATCACAAAGAGCTAAATCAATATTAGGACAAAGATGAGGGTAGCACCTTTGTAGCAGACCATCATTGCATTTGCTCTGCTAGAAGCTGGAGCACATATTATCAGTGCAAGACTTGCACTGATAATTAAAATGTCTTCTCTAAATTTTCAAAATTATCCTTCATAGTTTGGCTACAACACCAAATTCCAACATTTGTATTCTGAATCCACATCTTCTGCTGACACCCCTAGTGCCAAGAATCAATAGTTTCAAACTCTGGCAAAACAAGAGAGCTCACTGGAACTGCTCCCAATTTTATTTCTCATGTCACTATTCATTAAAAACCCACCAGGCAAATACCTGGGGGACTGGCATTTCTTCTTATTCAGTAGGAATACCAGGCGAAACAAAATATTTTGTTCTCTCTTTTGCTCATATTCCTCATCAGACTGTAAGCTTTAAGTTACTGTGAAAGGAAATGGGAAACATGTCAGCTGCAACGAATCCTGCAAGAATTTCTCATTTTTTAGAGAAATAATTGCTAATTGGACATACACAAAGCCTAAGAGACAACATTCCAGGAAGACCCATATGCTGCAATATGTGGGAACTCACACTCAACAATCTATTTCCTTTCACTTATATAACAACCACAGAATTAAGCATTTGTATGATAGGGATCTTGGAAGAATAAATAAGCCATAGCTCTGCATAGGAGAAATTAATTTTGTACCTGCTGCTGGAAATTAAGCGTCTAAATTACGTATATGTTCATAATTTTGTGAACATTTAGTGTGTGTTCAAAATTAATTTTAATAAGTTAATAGGTAATTTTGAAAGCTTAGAAGCTGTGAACAGTATTTTGCAGAAATTCAACATGGAAACATTAATAGGTTTTTGTCCCTAATGAGAGTAACAACAGCAAAAAAAAATTTTTCCAAATCTTCTATAGAACTAAAGCTCGACAAACTCCTAAGCAAAATTTATATTTGTAGAAATTGAGTTCCTAAGTTATCAATTTTCATATATACTTTGCAAATATGACCAATTTTTGTGGCTCATACTATCAGCTCCACTCTGCCTTCCCCCATTCCAGCCCCAAGAATTTTGGATTCCTTTTACACACCAGCATAGATGAAGGGAACACTGGAATAGCTAGGATGCCCTCCTGAGAAATGAAAACTGGATTAAACGACTGTAGAATAAAGCAAGTATTGAACACTGTCCACCACAAAGAGCTGCGGGAAGAGGTAATATTATCTTTGTTTTCGCTTCCTTTTCCCACTGCCTGTCTGACTGAGAGCAGCCGTGATTCCTGTGCTTTGTGCAGGACCCAGCGTGCCGGCCCAGCATTCCAGGTGTGCTCTGAATGCAGACAGCGCTGGGATTCCTTCCCTCCAGGGACAGGCCAAGGCATCCCCTCTGGGCACAGAGAAGAGTCTGTCAGTATGAAACATCCACTGAGCTGCCAAGCTGTCAAGGAGTTGAAAGGGGGATGTTACAGTGGGCCTAGTCCTCAGCACCACAAGCACCTCTGCTTTCCCAGGCATCAAAACAAAATCATTATTAACTGCATACTTTAATCTTGGGTACCTGAACTGCAGCACAAGCAGAATTTAGATATCTAAGTTCTGTTCTGGATCTTGGTCTAAGCATGCAAGTGGAGCAGACCCATGACACCAAGGACTATACTAAACTTTTTAGCACATACATTTTCAAATGTGTAAGTGAACAGTGAACTAAATCCACACTATGTACCTGTGAGGTATGGTGCAGTAATGAGAAACATCTGCCCACAGCACAGAGCGTGTTACAGAGTATGGTATGCTTTGTGGTGAGGAAATGCCTGAACAGAGGCACATTCATATAAAGCTGCAAATCTTTTCCTACAGCACAAAATTCTTGTTCAAGCACAAATGCAAATACACTGGCTTTCTGTTGTCTTTTCTCACTTTCCAACCCTCATTCCTAAGCTATTCTAAAATATAAGTAAATTTGTCTAGTTTTGCTTCTTTGAAAACAATCACATATTCCAGCCTATCTAAACATGAATAGTCACTGATACCAGTTTTGTCTGAAACAGTAAATGAGGTACAAAAGCAACAAATGTCAGAAGTTCCCGTGACAACAGCTGTTTTCCATGCACCATTGAGGCAAACAGCCTTAAAACATGGAGCATGTGAAATGGTGTACCTGGTTTAGCTCCAGCGTTGCTTTGTCCTGAAGTGACTTTCTTATCTTGTGTTTCAGAACCTTCAGTTGCTAGAATAAGGAAGAAAAGAAGACATTAATTAATTATTTTACTTGGTAGTAGGTCACTCACCTTATTATATTCAAACTTAAATATTGCTGGATTCTCTCCAAAATCAGACTGTTCCAAGATTTCATCTTAATGTCATTTTACATAATTTTGCATAGACAAAGCCCCAAAGGCTACACAGAAAGCATTTAAGCCACAATACAAGTTCCCATTTCAAGCTGAAGAAAGAGCCACGATAAGATTTTATTTTAACAATGTGTTTTAATAAGACTTATATGAGGACTTGCAGATCCCAGGTTTCTAAAGGTATGGTACGAGATACTGGCAAAAACCTCTTTAAAAATTGCACATCCATAATGCAGGACTGAAGAGAGGCCTATTAATTACCTGAATGAAGTCTAAATGAGGAGATATTCCCATTATTTGCAACAGAATTTGATCGGGTCCTACCAGTCTAGAACAAGATCTAATTCTGGAGCTCTGAATGCCTTTTCAACAACCCTTTATAAAAAAAATAAACCCAGAAGATTCATTACTATTATTCAAATCAAAACCATATCCTTAGCTCAGCACATATCTGTAACTAAAATACCAGCCAAAAAAATTAGATGCCATGATTTTTTCATCTTACTACTCATCTTTGTATCCAGCAGTTCCACTATAGGAGTGTTGGAGTCCAGAACACACCAATCTGGGAACAGCCTAAAGGCAGACTGTGAAAATTCTAAGCCTCCCAAAAACAGCTTGAAAGTATTTGCAAGCAAGGATAAAAAGACAGTTATAAATAAAGCTTAGGGGACAAAACACTTCAACAAAAATATCACTAAAAATGAAAGTTGGGAAAAAACCTCTGATTACTCCGGATTTAAAAGTTAAACAGGCATTACTGTATTAGATCCACTTCAGAAAACATAATTAAAACAATTTTTCCTCAGAAGACTCCAAGCAATTTCTTATGCATGTCAGCTTTAACAATACACACTCAGCACTTAGACCCTCAGTGAGTTCGTTCCCATCATGGCCTCACAGACTTTGTTTCGTTACCTCCTTCCACAGGCATGTTTCAGGATTAACATAGAGGGTAAAAGGTAGCAGGAAGAACCTTTATGTTACATGTACTGAACCTTTTTTGCAGGGGGAAGGCGGGTGAGGGAAATAGAAAAATACTGTTATTGAATGTTTCATGTTTAACAATGTTTTGCCAAGAACAGTGTTCAAAAATCACATAGTCTCACAAAAAAAAAAAAAACCTGTGTGAAACCTGAAATAATTGTGAGACACTCCTTGATGCCTGTATTAAGTCTCTTGCAATCAATAGAAATAACCACTATTCAACTTAAATACCGATTCCAAATGACAGTAAGAACTGTAACACCTTAAAGGCAACCCAACACAAGATTTTAGTATTTGCCATTTTAAAAGCCTCATACAAAAGATTAGTGTGACCTATGGGTAGATGGATTGATTTTTGGCAAGATAATTTGAGAACCACTGAACTCTTGCACCACCAGGCTTGAAAGGATCTACCATCATGAAAATCCATACGTGGTGCTGGAACAAGTCCAGAGAAAGCCAAGAGAGTTGGTGCAGTGTCCAGAGCACAAGTGCTATGTGGAGCAGGGGAAGGAGATGGGGTATTTAACCTGGAGAAAGGGAGGCTCAGGGGGAATCACAGCACTCTCTATAACTGCCTGAAAGGAGCATGCTGCTTCTCACAGAACAAGAAGAAACAACATGAGGATGAAATGGCCTCAAGTTGCACAAGGGGAGTTTTAGACTGGATATTAGGAAAAAATTCTTCCCAAAAGAGTAGTCAGGCATTGGAACAGGCTGGTGGGACCACCACATCTGGAAGTGTTCAAAAACTTGGGGATGTGGCCCCCAGGGCTATGGTTTAGTGGTGAACATGGCAGCGTTAGTTTAACAGCTGGACTTAATTTTGGAGGTCTTTTCCAACCTTTACATTTCAGTGCTTCTAAACTCTTTATATCTTATCTCCCCCTCAAAGTTAAGGTACTAGCAAAATAAGCTTTTTTCCTGCATGAATCAACTATTTAGAACATTCCCAGAAAAAGTCCCACTGTAACTCAGTGTGACTACATCACAATTCCCTTCAGCCTGGCCTAGGGCATTATATAGAAGAAGAAATTGTCATAAAATAGTAAAAATACTGTTTCTAAGAGCTAGTGGATACACTGATGTTCTAATAGCATCAGCACAAATTTCTTTGCATCTTTCATACTGAGTATGTTCGTTATTTTCTTCAAGCATTGCACCATGGGATTATGCAACACTCCATTAACTTCAAAACTGTGGTTTAAATGCCAGACAGAAAATACACTTGCAAAATAGGTTAGGTACATGAAGTAGTACTTTTCCCCCCATACTTCCTTGTCTAACATTTCCTTGAAATATTGTTTGACATGGTTGGAATACACATTCATATGACCACTCATATGACAAGCGACAAAAGGAACAGATGGCACACCATGAATTTTAACGATGCTGGATATCAAATAAGAATTGGCACAAGTATTTAGTAACCAGTGTAGGTGTGCTCCCACATAAAATACCTCTTGCTCTAGGATACAAACAGATTAATCAGACAACTAAACATCTAAAATCCACACCTAAATATTGACAACTGGTTTCCATACCTAACAGATGCCAGAAAATATATCATTTAACTACCCAATATTTGCTCTGCCGTTTATCTTGAACCACTGCCTTTACATAAGGGAATAAAAGCTGCATAAAGAAGAGTTACAGATGGATAATTTTCTGTGAAGCACAGCTGTCTCTCTCAGCTCTGCCATTATTATACGGCACAGCATCAAACAGAAAGCTGTACCTCAGTTTCTCTGTGTGGAAAGAGGGGAAAAAATGGTGGGGGGAAGGCAAAAAAAGAGATATGTATTTCTACTGAATAATACACATTTGTAAATGTTGAGCTTTCAAGTAACACCAGTTGCATCACAAAATTCAGCATATATACCAGAGGCAGAGCTGAAAGAGATCCATAAGGATGACACGTTCTAGGGAAGACCTCTTCAGGCTCAGCTTTTAGCTTTGCTTTGAACCAAGACAAGTACAAAACTGGCAGACTATTGATAAAAAAACAGTTTTGTAATGGAAATGAAATCTATTTAGAAATCTCTGATCAGTTTCAATATATCTATGTGTTCCCAGACAGGTTTAATTAATACTGCTATTGATTACCAGGACGAGCACAAGCTCTAGAAGGACTGACAAGCTATTTTATAGGATATCAGCTCACCCCATGTCTCATACAGCCATTATAATTACTGTAAATTCCTAGAACAGTTAATAATCTCTGTAGTGAGTACTAGTACCAAAGTTTATTTCCTAAAATGAGAAAAAACTACTTTATGATAGCCAGAGCTACTTTGAAAGAGCTGTTCCATGATCAGCATCTGTCAGACAAAAATGCCTTCAATAACCTTACAGGCTAAGGTGTTCCTCTTGAGCTAACAAACCAGTTATCTCCAGCTTGTCCAAAGGAGGTCTGTGTGAGCAGAAGTAGGAATTGCTAGCAGTGGGAAGCAAAACAAGCACAAACAGAAAGTTTATATTAAAAATATTCAAAGTCGAAGAAAAGGGTCATAAAAGACATTAAGAAAGGAGGAAAATTGTAAGCTTTTAGTGATTTTTTACATGTCACATGAGAAATCTGGCCTGGGAGACAAGGCAACATATTCAAGGGGAAAAAATTAGTTGAGAATTAGAACCTCTGGGAGAATGTCCTGGAAAGCAGAAAGAACGTTCACCCAGACCCTGGAAAAAACATTGAATGACAAACATTGAGAGGCAAATTGCACTGGCATTTTGACAGGCTTCTTTAAAAACACAAGAGCTGTGCAGAATACAAACACTTCTTTTTCAAACTGTGGCACATCAAGAACATGTTTGCATGGTGTGAACCAGCTATTCCCAGTGAGGTGAATGGCAAACCAAAGGCCCCACAGCAAGGCTGAGGAGCTGGAAAGAAGATGCTCAAGCTCTGTTCCATGGAAGAAGGGAATCAGCCACAAGGCAGAGGCAGTTCTATTTCCAGAAGGTCTCTACTCCCAGAACAGAAGCCTCAAGAGATTAAAGGCAGTGTGAAGGGGCACTTGGGGATCAGAAGCAAGAAGTGCTGCTGAGACCTGTGTCAAGGTCAGGATGAACACAGCAGCCCCCCCCCGAGAATGGCATCCTAGCACGGGTCTGGAAAGATGAGCTGTACAAGGGCTGCACAGCTGTGGATGAAAGCACAAGCCAGGAGAGTCCCAGGCCTCCAGTGCAGGAACACCTCTGGGTACAGGGTGCTCTGAGCACCAAGGGGGAAAGATCATCCTCCAGTTTCCTGCGCTATTTCTACAAGTGAGAAAAGTTACTGAGAAGCAGCCATGAGAAAAAAGAAACAACTAAATCAGAGGAGGAGGGATTACAGGGAAAAAAGAAGAAAATCTAGCTATTCTGTACCTGCCACTTGTCATCTAATCCCCCTGGTATGACTGAACAGCTACTTTTTTTAGCTGTCAGAGTGTGCCGTGGGTGTGTGAGATAGGGAAGGCTTCAGAAATGACAGCTGGAACAAACTCATACCTCAGTAAAAAAGTGCTTCCAATACATAGCAGAGGAAATTCAGCATTAAACTGGGAAATTTAAAACAGAGCTAACTGGGAACTAATATATTCTTTATCCTTAGCACCTAATCCTGCTACCTCCAACTACTTCCTTATGAATACTGCTCAAAAAAAAAATCTGAATAAACCCCCCACTCTTAAATTCACTTGCTTATTTTATATAGCATGTCACACCTGACATGCACAATGTAAAAACTGTATAGTTTGAATTACCCAGAACTAAGCAGAGAACAGAGTATTCAAAGTTTGTATAAGTAATAATAAAGAATTGGTGTTAGTCTAGGAAGTTTTGTCTAGACACTGGGAACAGTGGCGAGCTAGCAGGTCAATCAAGTCAGAGGAATTGCTGTGCG